CCTGTGGTATTACTTCATGGGTTTTGCCCACCTGCCCACGTCATGGTTTACCAACGGCATATGAGAAATCATGCCTTACTCTTAACAACGGCATATGAGACATCATGCCTTACTCTTAACAACCATATATGAGAGACCACGAGTAAGGCATGATTCCTCATCTGCCGTTGTTGAACAAGGTTTTCTAGGTGGTTAAAATTTGAAGTTATTTGGCCCACCGTTTTTCTGGCCGAGGCTTATTAAAAGGCTCTACTAAGGTTATGATGTGTCTCTATCCGTCTAGTCTGCTGACCTGCTTATCCCTTTGAGTGCCGAGTGGCTCCAAAGAGATCACGGGCAAAGGTTCCAGCCAATGAATGGCAATGCCGCAGAAAATGTAGTCCTTGCTTGTGGGTCAAGAAATCTGCCGGAGTCGCTCCGCTCCGGGCGGCCCGTTGCGGGCTGTGAAGTAGGCTGCGCCACAGATTATACACAGGAGGACGTCTACAACCTGACTAGGCCCTACCGATATTACTGGGTGTTTGCCTTGCATCCCTGTCAGGTAACTTACCCCTCAGTAAAAATCAACCCCTGTCCGATGAAATACATCTTCGTCCTGCAGGTACGTCGCCCCCCTTGTCGGTACCAGCCTAAAGAATTACCAACCATACTCAGTAGTCTGTAGATCAGGTACCTTGGTGAGAAGCTACTTTGCTGGCAGGGGCGCTACCAGGGTGTCAGTGAGAATAGCAAAAAATTTCGCGTTCGAGTCATGTACATTGTGCACCTCAGTCGCCAGTACACCTTGACACCTTGACACCATTCCACTTCTGATCAGGACATTATGATTTTGCCAAGTTGGAAATGTGAGGCTTCTTGATGTTGTGTCTGGTAGCCATAGATATAAATCTAACCCAAATCCCTCTGAATTCGACAAGATTGCAAACCAACTCGTTCAATTCCATCTATCATCTGCACTTTCTACGCTCTCCTCTCTATTTCGCAAGTCATCATCAATCGTCCCAATCACCCCTAGCATGGCTGTCGGACTCATACTTGCGGCATTGGTCGCTGGTGCCTACTGTACTCCCGCGCTTGCTCCTAGGATACCCTTTGGAGAAGCAGACATGGCTCAGCTGGCGCGAGACACACCCGCAGCCAAGTACAACACCCGCCGTATCTTGAGCGTCATTGAGCATCGCAACGCTCCTTACATGGAGGTACCAATGTCCGAGTTGAAAGGCCTTGGCGATTCTTTCAAAAAGGACTGGGATGAGATCGCCATTACTCATTTGGGCGACTACAATAGGGCCTTTATCTTACGCTCGCAAATGGTCCCCGGCTCTGCAAAGTTTAAAGTCCACATCAATCCGAACATTGAGAAAGAAGTCATTAGTGGACATGGGCCTACGACGTACACCGTTACCAGTTCCACGGCTAAAATCGACACTGATCGAGAAGGATGGAATACAGACACCAACTCGGAAGTTGGTGGCTCGGTTACTGCTGATGTCCATTTCAATGGCTTATTTGTTTCGGGCGGTGTTTCGGCCACTGTCACTGGCAACCACAGATGGGGTGAAGGGAAGAATGGGGAGAAAAGCAAGCAAACCGAGTTTCGAACTGACGAGGAAATGCGTCAAGAGTGTCCGCCTCGTCACTTTTGCTCCGTCCAGACCTGGACTTATACGGTCGAAGTATCTGGTCAATGGCAGGCAGTGCCCGTTTTCCAGGTTGACAGTTCTCCGGCTCCCAACTTTGCAAATCTCGCACTCCCAAAGGCCGACTACTGCCTTGCCGCTTGCAACCCTTACTATGAGAATTGTCAAGATATGTGGAAACTCGCAGGATACTTTTACGAGCTCGGCGAAGTGGAAGACACTCCCAGATACAATTACGAGGCCCTGCACCAGCAATATGAAGACGATCCTCAGGCAACCATACAGACCCTGTTCCCGATAGCTGCCGAAAAGCAAGGAGACACCTACATGCCTGCAGACGGCATCATCTATGGAGAAAAGCTGCCACATGTTGAGCGCAAGTTATCCTATACCTTGCGGAAGGCAAATGGAGAGCCATACAGGACTGTGGTTGTCGTGAGCGAGCCACTCGAAAAAGAAGAGGATTCCGAAGCACCAGAGGATCCCGAGGCAACAGAAGATTCTGATGAATCGGACGATGGCAAGGTAGCGCCTCCGCGGGCCCTCGAATGGGTTGTTGGCAGAAATGGGGTCGGCATGTGCAAACTGGACGAGGGATGGTGGTGCAGCAAGGAGTGGCGTTTCTACGACCCTGAGAATGGTTGGTTCACTGCGGATGCGAAGGACTGGGACCAGCCAGAGGATCTCGACAAGAACTGTCCCCAAATCAGGGCGCCTCCGCCTGCTGAACGAGACATCCCCGAGTCGGACTGGAAGAAGCTTCCAGACTCGACTGAGCCCGAGATTGCCCACCATGTGGAAATGGGATGGGCACCAACAAGCCGCCGAAATGTGCCTGTGGTTCCTGACTTGAAGGCTGGGGAATGGAAGAGGTCATTTAACCAGACAAACAGTACTCAAGCCGCGAAAGTCGAGGTTGTTGTCCTCCAAGACGAGCTTTCGGAACTTGTTGCGGATCTTGAGAATGGCACGATTTAAAGGATTTGTGGAGTGGTGGCAGGTGTGAGGCTGGTGAGGCTGGTGAGGCTGTTGCAGCCACCAAGCTACGTGGCTTCTGATTGGCCCTAATTGACAAAGAACCCACTTTTACCTAGTACAGTAAGTGCAGGATTTTGCCTGCGCTTTTTCACTGATCAAGTATTTACCGATTAATTGATTGATTGATTGATTGATTTATTAAAGCTTTAACGCCGTGACGTCCCTAATGAGGGCAAAAGCCACCCACCAAGGCGGAGCCCCCCGATGATCTAGGTACCAAAAAAATTAAAACTCTAAATTTACGTGGGTCAGTGGGGTAGTGGGTACTAGTGGGCGTTCGCAGGCCTGTCATGATGTCAGAATAGTGGCCTCTCAGGGGTCTTTAGACAGGGTTTGAAGAAAATTTCTGACGGTGTGCTATAAACGGATATTATAAAGGTAATAAAGTAATAAGGGAGCGTCAATCATAAATGGGGACAAATCTCCTTAGAAAAGGAGTTCTTCCGTACAACTGTCGTATACGTATATATAATCCCTAACCGAACTAAAACAGTCGACAAAGGCGGTCTTGTTACAAGGTGCCGCGCTACGGGGTCCTAATAAGGCTTACATAATAGGTTGATTTATTGTCCTACAATCTACTTAGATCTAGATAACGAGAATTCCTTGAGTCCTTGTTTCCTTATTTTCAGCGTCTTCGTAAAAGGTACATCTTGACCCTGGCTCTTTTGCAGGCATCCCTAGCTACCTGCCCCCCGCCCCCCTCACCCCCCCACTACCAGCTTGACAGCTACTGACAGGCACCCTGGCTCCCTCTTATGATTAACTACTCTTCGCTTTAAATAGGGAAATAAGGACTTAGGAAATTCTCGTTATCTGGGCCTTTGCCTACGCGACACTATCATCAGGAATCCATTTGCGCAACACATTCTCAATATATGACAGAGGTACACCCGAGCTCAACGCATCAGAAATCGCATGGTTCATGCGGACAACATATTCGTCTCTCGGCTTCCCAGTCGCAATCCGCTCATGACTCATGTACACGAGCACCCCAACGGCCCTGCCTGGCTGAGCAGGATCCGCTCGATGAGTGCCGTCCGCTGCCATCGGCTCCCACAACTGAGCCTGGATTATGTTCTTTGTAAAGTGAGTCGGCACGCCCTCAATTACGTCGAGCTCCGCTTCGTCGCTGGGCTGCAGCGAGTATGCCAAACCCCAGACCTCATCGTCGTCGTCGGACCCCAGAGTGATGTTGGCACCGCCCTGAGCGGCTATGAACCAGCGATAGCCAGGCAGACGGGCGATGCCGAGGTATGCTGCAGTGCGGCAGCGAGTCTTTACTTGTTGCTTCCACATGTTGCTGCCAAAGCCAACGTAGATGGTTGTGGCATTTCCAAGGGAAGACGTTTCAGTCATTTTTGGCTATTCCGGGAGTGATTTGGTGGTAGATTATTGTTCGCTCATGTTGAATCACAACATTCGGCCGAGGAAATAAATATGGTTGAGCTCCGCCATTTTTGTAGCAAGAAAGCTGCACCTCCGATGACACCTGACGCATCGTAGTAGTCAATAGTCCAGCGTTGTCCTTGTACAATTGCTGCTTAGTACCGGGTAGATGCGGCCCTGCAGCGCACTGGCAATGATCACCTCGTCCTGTGCCTCCTCCATGGCCGCCTCCAGAGCTTTTTTTTACTACTTTTGAAGACGGAGGCTTGAAGGGAGAGGTTAATGATGTTGCCAGCGAATCGCGTCCGAGAGGCCATTAGATCAAACACTGTGATGCTCCCGTAGCAGTTGTGTAGAAACTTGGCGAGTCAGTGGATAGGCACTGTTAATTGTCGGCCTAATGCACAGATTTAACCCGAGCCCCTTTCGCTCACGAATTTAGCTAGGCTACTAGAGGCCGGTAGGCTAAGTATACTAGCGGTCTAGAATTAGAAAGAAGTTAGTAGACTTACCCTAACACAAGATATCTATAAAAACATTATATAATATATAACTATATAAAATAATTATACCTATTATAATAATTTCCTATTTTTATAGTTATATAATTATTACTATTTAAGTATTTATTTTATTTTTAATATTTATAAAATAAATTATTTAATTTTATTAGCTTTATAACTTATTTTATTATATAAATAAAATGTTCTTATTTTTATTATTAATATAATTAATAATTTTATTTTTATTATATAATAAAATAATAGTTTTTTATTATCTAAGTTATTTACTAATAAAGTCTAAATATATTTTTAAAGAGATAGGAAGATATAGAAGTCTTTATTATAATAGAAGTAGAAGAATAGCTAGCTAGAGGGTGACTATAAGTAAGTAATAAGAAAGTTATGATTAAGACACGGTTTTTTCTATTTACTAACTAATATCCCTAAAACACGACATGGCCAAGTTCAACAAAGCCCACCGATGGTACTACTGGAGCAACATGACGCCACTGGAAGGCATCATAATCAAGAACTTCGATTCAGAGCTGGATGGAAGAGCAAGACGTGAGCATCATGTGTCAAACGAAATGAGACTGCTTACCATTCTGTCCAGGTCTGTCCCCACGCTGCATTCATGGATGCTAACTCGCCGCCCGGAGATCAGCTACGAAGAAGCATCGAATTTAGATTCATTATTCTTCATAAGCCATACCATATCTCAACCCTACGGGATACAATCGTGTCATTCAGACTACCACGTTTTGCTGACTAAATCCGATTTGTTAAAGGCAGATGTGCCAGTTGAGACAGCCATCGGTAGCTTAGAAGCGGAGAGAAATTCATATATTAGCCGCAATAGCCCGAGGTCAAATCCTGTGTAGACACATATTAGAGTATTACGAGTGGTCTCTTGCTCTGAACCTACCTTCCGGTCCTATGATCGAGAGGGAAACGGGAAAAACCTCATCCCTTTTCGTGACGTTGGAATGATAAGGGCATTGACCGACTAATACGAATTTAGCATTCCATCTCAGGCGAGCAAGAACGTAGCGATAACTGACTTGGAACTATGATGTTTGGGAGTCCAGCGAAAGAGGCGTGTAGGTTGGAGTGAAACTCATAGAAGTTGCGACTTTCGGGCGCTCTAGAACCGAGTTAGACTAGCACGTGGACTATACGACGAACAACTAACGGGAGATATTCGTCTCGATAATCTAGCGTATATCGAGGAATGATTATAATGTCATTCTTGTTCTCTAAGAAGTGCTCGGAAAGCCAATGATTATGATCGCGGACTTTAGCCAGAGCCTCTTGCTTCCGGGAGGACGATACGGATTGTCCCTTCTTCCTGGTGGCACTATTAGGTTCAAAGTAATCGCTCCGGGAAACTTGAGAATTACCATAGCCATTCTGTAAGCTTGCATACGTATGGCGCTGAAGCGAAGCCATCTTCGTACTCCTTTCGGAAAGGCGCCGCATGAGTCCAGTATTCGTGGGACAGAATGTCGAAGAATGCCTACAATTTTGTGAGTTGGAGGCTGTTCCTGGAAGCTCTCTGACGATACTGACCTTGCTGAAAAACTCTTCAAAAGGTTCCTGTGCGTGGGTTGGCTTTGTGGCCGCCCATCTTTCCTGAATCGAGGTACGGCTCACTTCTACCTGAAGCCACCTGGAAAGAGCATTGACCCAATCATCAGCCAGCACCTGGACGTCCTTGTTGCTAACGTAGTAGTCTGGCGGAAACAGAATTCGTGTCGGAGATAGAGGCTGATAGAGATGTCAGAGATCCGAATAAAGGCTATACATCAAGTTGATCTAACCTCCGTTTCTGCTCGTGCAGTAATGGACCACTGATTGCTGAAATGCAGCATGGTGTGATAGCTGCGTCCCAGAAAGCCGGGAGTGTGAAAGACACTATCTTTATCAGATAAAGGTCGCATTGAATATGGAAGAGGCAGAATTACTTACGGACAGGGAATCATAGCATCCTGCATGGGAGTGCCGTCATGGGATGGCCTAAAGCCGTAGATGCCATGGGCAACCGCAGGATCTCTGATGCTTCCCCCAGCTAACATTGCAATATCAGCAAACGCATGAGAGACAGGCATATGCCGATGAAGCCCTACCATCAGTCCCGAGTGTGATGTCAAGCCAGGGATATGCAGCCAAACTTGACGCTGAACCAGTACTGCTGCCAGTGGAGGCGAGATAACCATCACCCCGAGCGTTGAAAGCGTATGAATAATCGCACCAGTCCCCTATAACTTCCTGGCTGCCTCCAAATTCAACCGTCTTTGTCTTTCCCACAATAATAGCGCCCTTGTTCACAACATCTTGGACAAAATCAGTTGTGACATTGGAAGTTGGGTGTAAACTACGGTAGGCTCGGTTGCCGCAACCTGTGGGAACGCCGTTGAGATGGAATAAATCGTTGATTGCGATTCTCAATCCGGCCAATGGCAAATTTGGCGTCTTTTCAAAATAGAGTCGAGAGGGAACAGCGACGCACAGTGTTGTCGCTGCCAAGGCTGAAGCATTCAGGCTCTGATACCTGTCCAACGTTAGAAAGTGTGGTATTTCGGCAAGAATTCTGAACAGATTACTCACACATTAGTGTCCTGCTGGGATGGAATTGTGCTGAGAACAAAGGCTTCGTGGTCATCTTTGTACAGTTTCCACGCCCAAAACAAACCACGCCGAGAGTAAAAGTATGGTCCCGGAGCGATGCTCGAATCAGGAATCAAAATGACAGTAGTGCAACCAAGTTCCGCAAGAAACTGCCGGACTGAGTCACTTATGGACGTCTCGTTTGTGGTGAGGAGTACATGCTTCAGGAATCTATCGCAAAAGACATCGTCGTCGCGGAGGTAGCGACGGTAAGCATCTTGAAGATACGCCTTTGTAATTGGCCCTGAGGGCACATCAAAGCAGGCCAGGAGCTCGAGCTCTGGCGACTCGGTCAATTGTATGGTGTGCTTCCAATTGTTAGCCTCGCGAAAAATTCGTTCTTTGATACACGAACCTTGGGCTGGCCCTGAATCACATAGGCATCTGGACTATACTCGACAACGGTCGTGGTTACGGCGCTCGGAAGGGGGTTATTGGCCGTAGGACTCTGCGACGCTAATCGGCCTCTAATACATCTACAACTCAGTAGGGGCAGTTGCGATGCAGTAGGACCTGCTGTTTTGAATGTCTGGACTGTCATAGCGGCTATTGGGGAAAGGGTGTGGGAAGAAGATCTGGCTTGCAAGGTGGAGGATATTGGGCGTTTTGAAAGCTTCTTAACCCCGCTGTGCTAAGTCAGCCACATCTGTTGACCAATCCGATAACTACTGGTCCTTGGATAACCCAACTGTTGGTTTGAATACAGAGCGGTGTGACTCTGCATAACGGAGCCACTGTTGCCGTATCGTCCACGGAATGGGCCGTAACGCTAGCATCTATTAGCCAAGTCATCTCGGGAACTAGGAGATCAACCTGATTTGCCCACCTTCGTGCTCAAGCTCTGTTCAGGTAGCACGCTTGACTCAAACACATCCACGTCTCTCAGCATGTATAGTGCCGACTTTAGCGTTGAAAGTGAACCAGCACGTACCTCAAGCCAGCTGACTAGTTAGGGTAGTCATATTGGGATATGATATTTAATAAAAGCAGTACTTTAGGTGCCAACGCTCATAATCCCCAGTATGTGATCGATACCTTCACATACATATTTTGCCATTTTAGCTGACATTGATTCAAAAACGGGCAGAAGCCGTATAAGTCGCGCATCGGTGGGTTGAAAGAGCATTCTCCGATTGTTCGCAGCTTCATGGGCGGGCGCCAAGCGCAGTGATTTGATGCTCGTCAATCTGGCGGAGGCGGCGTTGAAGAGTGCCAAGTGGCCGACCGAAGTCCAGACAGGTCGCGAGACCTTTGGAATTGACTAGGATAGTTAAGGCATTGCATGGTATAATGCCCGGTGGTACCGCATGCTCAGGTTGGCTTGCTTGCAGTGAAGGCTTTGTGCAGTAAAAGCTTTGGAGTGCGGGCGTTGCCGCCTCCAAGCCTGGAAAACACTGATTATTAAGGCACTTTTTTGAACTGCTGCACACAAGAGTCAGGTGGACCATAAGGTGCTTCTACGCAAACAAATATAGGAACAGCGTAGTTAGCTTAATTATATCTGTTTGAGCATCTACCTCTAATCGACGACTGTCTCGGCAACGACAGCGGCAGCGGTTTTCGAGAGCGACAGCGACAGCGACAGCGACGTTGATTTCGATAGCTGCTCGTCCGCTTGCCCATCATGGCGCCCTCAGTAACCCCGGGTAGGGGTCGAAAGTCCGCTTGTGAGATGTGCCGCGCACGCAAACGGCGCTGCGATGTATGCATGCACCAAAAAAAAGACTTTCTCGTTGTACTGACTGGTGGTGCAACCAGGGCCGTTTACCGTCATGTTCCCTCTGCCAAAAGGCCCAGTCTCGGTGTATATATGCGATTCGGAGTCCATACGGTCAAGACATGGGCGTCATGTTCCACTCAGCACCCCCGGAGCTCAGCGCTGCTCACCTCAACGACACGCCTGAGACGGACTTGGCCACGCCCGACAGCTACGATGTCAACCGCTATCTTGCCGCTGAAATGGAATCTAGACACTTCTCCTCTGGCATTCCAGGACCCTTGACTTCCGATTCTAGCCGCTTCTCCGACATCTCAACTATCCTTCCTGATCCTGCGTCACAACGGCGACACACCTTGGGATGGACGCAACACGACTGCGCACACCTCGACCCTCTCCCGTTAAATTTCGATTCCGGCCCCTCTGCCTTTGGTCATCCACCACACTCTGCGCTTAGCCTCATCGACAGTTGGCGGCAGCAGAGCCCTTCCAGGCCGTCGAGTGCAGCGGCAGAACCAAGCGAACCCAGTCAATCTCAGCTTCCTAGCAAAGAACGTGTCTTGGAAATGGTCAACAGCTTCTTCTCCGCTCAACACCACCTTTTGCCCTCAGTACACCGGGCGTCTTTCATTGCGAGGTTGTCCAAGGACATGACTGGCTTGAGCTCCGGCCCGTTTCTTTGGGTCATTCTCGCGTTATACTGCTCCTGCGACAAGTCAGAAGCCATGCAGAGACAATATTGCCGTTGGATGCAGATAGCGCACTCCAATCTCGAGCCCATAAGCACAACGCACGTGGGAAGCAACACCACCAATATGTTGCAAGCTTCCGTATGGATGGTCTTTGACGCCTACTGCAGTACTGCAGGGGGGAAGTCACGGACGCGTGGCTGCTTCTCGGCCGCACTGCGCAACTATTGAGTGTCCTTGGGCTGGATCGCATCGATAGCAAACACCGAACACCAAGGATGAAAGCGGAGCTAAACTCTTGCTCCGACATTGAGGTGGAAGAGCGTCGCAAATGCATATGGTGCCTTGCACTTCTCGATCGTGTCATTGTTTCTATAAACGGCCTCGCTTTGTCTATAGACGACAGATATTTCCACGTTGATTTCCCACTCCCAGAGCTAGAATTCCAGGAGGCGCAAAATTCGGTGAGTTGCGACTCAGAATTATCCCTGGTTCACTCGATAGCAAAACGCTGACAGAGGTCACCAGCTCAAAGACATTGAATATTTACGGGAAAATTACACTTGCGCAGCTTTTGATCTACTTAATGGCACATCGGAGATGGCGAGCCAGCCCTCTTTTGGGCATATTCTGAAAGTTTCAGTTATCCTGGGCCGTGCTTTGGCCATTCAAAACAGCCTTCATAATGACGAGACTCAAGACCAGTATCTGGAAAAACTTCGAACCCTGGAAAGCGTCCTCAACACCTTCAGTTATGCTGCCTCAGCATCAGGCGAAGCAGTCGGTGCGACATCACTGATGCAGCTGTGGCTCAGGATGCTGACCCAATCTTCGAAAATCTCGATCCTCCATCCACCCGGACCGAGCACGCTCGGTCTTTGCGACTGTCTGATCTCTCCATCGCCAGATGCGTCCCGAAACAGGACGGACAGCAGATGCGTGAGGGCCGCCATGAGCGCTGCCGGCACCATCAGCCAGGCACTCCAGAAGACGCTGGTCGCGCTAAACAATCCATTCTTGCTGCCCATGGCATGCACGTCTGCGCGTATGCTGGCGCTTTTGCGGAATCAGATGCACGAATCAGACCGAGGACAGGCCCGGGTAGCCATCAACGAGATACTCAACGTGGTAAACTACATTTCAATTAAATTTCCCGGCGCAGGAGCGAAAGCGCAGGAGGCGATCAAGCAGAGACTATATGAGCTCGAATACGGCGCTAGAGAAAATTCATCGAGCTGCCATATCGGGATAGATTGCGAATAACATTGTGTATGGGCGTTGCTCTGGAATTCGCAACGAAAGTTTTTTATGACATTTTAGCAATGGTAAATCTGCCATGACTTATTCAAACTCACAAAAACTGGCACTAGAAACTCTAGATTTTCTGAGTATGCAGCTGCGTGTCTAGCAACGTTGTAAAGGAAACATCTACTCTAGAAACAACAGAATGTATTAAGCTTGTGGCTTTTCAAGCACCAAAGGTCAAATCTTAGGTGTAAAGTGAAATTATAAGGACGATTGTGGACAAGATAGACCATGGTTAGAGTACAATTAAAGCGATGAATTAATATAAGTCTCCAGACTTTGAACAGCCAACTCTGACCTCTGTGACAGCATCTTTCCTTGACCGCGTTGTGTTGCATAGGCTAAGTACGCATCTTCTGGTTCTGTAATCCAATCAGCCTTGTGGAAAAACTGGGCATCAGCCTGCAAATGCACAGGAACTTACTCGAAGGAATACAGCGGCAACGAGACTAACAGCGCCAGCTGTTATGCACAAAATAAAACTAAATAGAAGAAATCAGTAATTGTGAGGATGAAGCAAAAGAATGAGGACGAGAGGGAAAAGATACGATTTGTTGATGGACGACATGATGGTGCGGAGAACTGCTTTCCGAGTCTCTTCGTCGAGCTTCTGAAAAAAGTCCCCAGCAGCTCCAGACAGGGCACGCTGAAGTTGCTCAGCTGGTACGTCGGGAAGCAGCCGTCGGAGATTTTCAAGGGCCGTGTTAGTGAAGACGGCGCCGCTGAAAGAAAGACCACTGGTGATGCCGAGGAGTTGGGCGAAGAGCATAAAAGTGACGCCGTACGCCATGTCGCTCATTTCGATGACGGCCAAGATGACGGCAAAGCCGACCTGCAAATAAAGTCCGACGCCAGCGCCGAGCAGGACCTGGAATCCGTACAGGTAGGCATCAGTTGTCGATATGTCGACTCGGTAGAAAAAGACGCCACCAAGGAGGATGAAGACGGCTCCCACCACGTACCACGGCTTGTAAAGCGGAAGGTGTGGAAGCAGCGCGCCTTGCAGCGCAATGAAGACTGTCGTCGCCACGATGAAAGGCAGCAGCCTAATTCCGGCGCTCAACGCCCCGGAACCGCCGATGAATTGAAAAATGAGCGGAATGTAATACTGTTAAAATGATCAGCTTCAGAATAGAACGATACAAGAAAAAAGTAAAAACGAGATTGAGAGGGAGTGGCAACTCACCATGCTGACCATGCTGGCGCAGTTGTTTGCAGCCATCAAGACGAACAGAAGGACGGGCTCTCTCTGCGTGATGAGCTGGCAGGGCAGGAGACGGCTCTCAAAGTTGGTCATGAAACTGAAGCTTTGCTGTAGGCCAAATGAGATGAGCAGCATGGCGGCGAGTACCAAGAGTGCGATGATCTGGCCGGAACCCCAAGAGTAGAGGGTGCCTCCAAAGTTGACTGCCATAACGGCGCAGAACAGGCCAGCCACGGAGAGCAGGGTGCCCAGGTTGTCGTACGCCTGGAATTTGTCCCGCACAATCATGTTAGGGCGAGGCTGGAAGGTCGGCATGATGAAAATGTAGACGGGGGCGAAGATTCCAAGGATGACTAGGTTGATGTAGAAGCCCCAACGCCAGGTGGCATGTGCAGCGAATCCACCACCGATGAGAGGACCGATGATCTGCGCAACACAAAAGTCAGTCAAAACTACATCATACAAACGGTGGAGAGGTTCATTCCAATCTTACACTTCCAATGCCATATGCCATGCCACTATGAGGATATGTGCGTTAAACAACAAATTTTTCGGTTGTGAATGAAGCGAGAGCTTGGACTTACATCAGACTCAAATAGGCAGGGCGCTCTTTGTCCGTGGTAGTTACAGCAAGGAGCGTCAATACACCGACGTACATGCCGTTGCCGCCAACGCCCGCAATGATTCGGCCAACGATCATGCAGGCCATGTTGGGAGCGGCGCCGCACAATGTAGTGCCGATACAGAAGATGACGCCGCAGATGAGGTAGAGCGTCTTGGTGTCGAAGAGGCCGTAGACCTTACCAGAAGGGAGCGCAAAGACAAGACCACCAATCATGTAGCCAACAGACACCCAGGGCAAAAGGTGCTGGTCCCCGAGGTCCTCAATGATCGAAGGTTGGATAGTTGCGACCTGTGTTGTGGCAATGTTAGTACATGTAGCTTGCGTAGATCCAGGGAACGTTGATTGAAGGGGAGTCGCACAATGGTGTTGTCTGTGGCGTAGAGCAAGATGCTGGAGACGACGGCGACGACGGCGAGAACCCATCTGAAGCCGTGTATATCGCGAGGTGAGGGAGGAGGTGGTTCAGTCTGCCCTTCCAGTGTGTCTGAGGCGACTCTGATTCCCTCGTCAGTCTTGCCAGGACAGCTGTGACTGACCATGGCTGCCTCCTTGTTCTCGACGACGTTTGCGCCGCCAAAGTTCTTCTCCATCTCCATAGTGGGAAGCTGTTCCGCTCGATCGGGGTGAGACTCGAGCTGGTAGTGTTGCGCAGAGGAAAAAAATGGCACAATCATCCATATCCGCAGCCAAATGCCGCATATATAGTCAAACTGAGATTTGATAGACAAGCCATATCTGCTGCAGACAAGCAAGCGCGAGAGGCGTGATTGATGACAAACTGAGGACGGCCATGTTCCTGAGATTCAAATCGACGCAGGCAAATTGCGGAGTGACTAGCGGACGCTAGCGGACGCTAGCGGGAGCTAGTGGAAGTGTTTATTAAGACTCTCGGCCCTGTAGTTAGGCCGTAGCCTGTAGGCCTCAGCGCCTGTAGTGCTGCAGCCGTGGCGAGCGAAACGACCACCTTGTTTGCTCCATCCGTCTCCTCAACGGCGACACAGACTCGAACCCAACGCAACGCAGCCTAGCTTCTCTCAACCGCCAGGCAATCCACAACCTAGCCAGCAGTATCATCATCCTTATTTAGCGTGCCAGGCAAGGCAAGCTCACCAACGGTCAGAAATGGATAAGGGCGCTGTCGCTACCACTCACAACAGCAGAGGTGCTGGCCAGCCAAGGAAGTGAGGTCCTGTCCAGAGCAGCGCTGCTAAATGGCTACTCAATAACCAGTTCGGTATGAAGCCATCAACCCCCACCACTCTCTCTCCGTCACGATCTCACCGTAAATACATCACCATTGGGCCGATGACTTACTTGATCGTCTAAGTCGGGCTCTACAGGTATCTCGTTCAATCAGCTAGCCCTCTTGTTTCTCTCCCACCACTTCATCCCCGCATCGCGACAGTACACCGCCAAGTTCTTTTCACTGTCCTATCGAAATGAGCAGACGGGCAAGTATGCCGCCGGCTACGATGATATATACTTCATCACTTTTTGCATTATTTTTTTAACTTGAATCCGCGCCAGCGTCATAGACCACGTTCTAGCGCCCCTAGCTCAGCAATAGGGAGTTACAGTAAGAACGCCACACCCTTTGCTAAGCAGAGCTGGATGCTCATGTACTACAGCGTCTTCTGGCCGATTGGGATGGTATGCTACCATCGTTTTGCTCTCTATTTGCCTACTCTCCTAACACCACGGCAGTATCTCTACTACAACTCCAAATACTTTGGGCATATGGACGACCTCTGGACCGAATGGCCGCAGCGAGAGATTGACGTCTTGATGAAGGCCTACATTCTTGGTCAGTGGTCCATCTGAATTCAGCAGTTCCTGGTCATCAACATGGAGGAGCGCAGAAAGGATCACTGGCAAATGCTGACGCTCCACCTTGTCACTATCACCCTGCTGGCCTACTGCTACGCCTACCACCAGACTCGAGTTGGTAGTGTAATCCTTGTCTTGCTGGATGTCATCGACCTTTTCCTGCCGGTATGTTCCTTTGCATAGGGCCCCAGGTTCCGAGAACTAACAGTCGCGTAGCTCGCAAAGTGTCTCAAATACCTCGGTTTTGGCGTTATCTGCGACGTAATATTTGGCGGATTTATTGTCTCCTGGGTCATCGCACGCCATGGTCTCTACAATTTTACATGCTGGCGCATCTATGTTCGACTTACCTCGTATTCTGAAAGCAGCATGCTACTGCGTTTCGGCCGACAACCTTCAAGGACCATTTACCGTGCCCACGAGTGGCTGGTCGCATCTCCTAGAGCCGTTCCGTGATCCTAAAGGCGTCGTCTGTTTCAACAACAACATTATGTATGCGTTCCTATCTTTTCTTCTTTTCCTTCAGGTCATGATGATTATATGGTTCATGTTCGTTGTCAAAATCGTCATGCGCATGTTCCGAGGCAAGGCAGCCGAGGACGTGCGAAGCAACAGCGAGGCAGAAGAATTGGGGGAAGAGAGAGAGGACGTCGATGAGGCGGAGCGGCCACAGTACCTGTAGCAAGAAGTGGATGCCGAGGCGATCAAGTGGACAGCTCGTGCCAGCGCGGCCAAGATGAGCAGCTCCGGCGGCAGCTTACACTTTCGCGGTTATGCGGACCATAAGGAGCTATTCTACAAAAAGCACCGAGGGCCTCCACTATCTCTGCCTCTCTGACTCCTCCATCACCGTGATTCATGGCACAATTTACTCTCTTTTGCAGGCTACCGCCATGAATGCACGACGAAATTTGGCAGCTGTGCCTACCCCGCCGCATCTTGGAGCTTGACAACCCCGTTCTTCATGATGATAAGACATGCTGGACCGGATATGCAACCTGGCACAACGGCGGCCCGCCAGCTCTGACCCGGGTCTGCTGCGAGGCGCGTCGTGTTGCGCAGGTACATGGAAAGTTCAGCCGTCTCCCTCTCAATTCAATGCCGTTCGTATCTATCAAGATTTGTTCCCAGCTTTTGACCAGGTTGCGCTGACAATACGGACCGGAGAGACGTTTCGCGTCGTCTTCTCAGTCATTACCATCCACCTCACTGCCGCCCAGGTGACGAGCTCTGACCTCTTTGGACATCTAGGGGACGAAATTGTGAAGCTGGTCGATATAGATGCCCCCGATGTCATTGAGAGATACCGCCGTCTTTTTTGCGCATCCAAGAGACAGTTGGAATATGTGTAGTCCCTTTTTGATGCACTGGCGCCGTCATCCGCCTGGCGCGAGCCGCTCCCAGGATGGCCGCAAACAGTACAGACCTGACTACTCGCTGCAGCCTGCAAGGCTCGGGATGTAACGGACCAAGATCCCGACCTGGACACGTTTTGGATGCAGGTCGGCCGGGAAGATCTTTCCTGACGATTATTTTGAGCCACAATTCTTCGCTGGCTTGGAGCTACACACAGACATCTTCGCCGGAAGGCTTGTTCCCAACTACGATAATGCGCTGGCTCAGCGTTTGATTGCCGGAGTTCCTACATTTAGGCCGAGCGTCACGTTTCGGGCCTGTAGATATGATCGGTGCGAGGAGATGGTTGCCGAGATAGGAATGGGCAAAACATTTCCTATGACCGCGGAAATACGGACAATCAATACTTGTCAAGGCTGAAAAGGTCAGGGTGAAAGTGGCGCAATGCAGCATCAACAAACCGCGTCCTTTTAGTCAACGCAAGCAGCCGGGTGGAGCAGTCTATTGAATAAAAGGATCTCACATCTCAATTCGGCCCTTGCACCTGCAGAGCTAGCTGCTAGCGCAGCCTGGATGACTGACGATGGAGTCACTCTGTTAGTCGATGCTGCAGGTCGGTGCCGCACTATTTGCGGCAAGTCCCCGAGGAAATGTATGCTTTCTCATTACGTGGCATTTAACCAGGAGGATCCTTGGCAGTGTTAGACGGCAATCTACAAAGGCTCGATTCATTTCCAAAGTTGCTCTTCGCTTTTGAGAAGGACAAGACAACTGTTCAAGTTCAAAACAAGGCAGGCAACTGACGACATGCGCACACTCGCCATCTTCTTCATCGGCGCAGCCGTCGCGGCGCACGTATCCCCATCGCATCTGCGCCCTCGTGACCCTAAGCCCAAAGGGCCCGTCGACCCCGGCATCAGCCCGTACTGTACCTACTACGATGAGGCCTACGACAAGAGCTACACCTGCGACGATCTCCTGTCGGCTTGGGTCATCAGCAAGCAAGACTTTGAATCCTGGGTCCGTCACCGTGTATCGGTCTCTCTCGGTGCACAAACCCCTCAACTAACGGGCATCTAGAACCCCGCCGTGGGCTCTGACTGCAAGCTTGTCCTCGGACACTCGTACTGCGTCGAGGTAAACCACGGAAACCCGCTCTCGACGACCACGACCACGACCACGTCGACCACGACGAAGACCACGACGAAGACCACCACCACCACGACTGCGGCGCCCAAGCCCACGAGCTCGGCGCCATCGGGACCGTCGCCAACGCAGGACGGCCTTGTCCATGACTGCAAGGCATACTACTTTGTCAAGGCGGGTGACACGTGCGACAAGATCTCGCAGATGTATGGCACGTTCTCCACGGCCCAGTTCATTGAATGGAACCCGGCAGTTGGCAGCAGCTGCACCGGTCTATGGGCTGGTTACTACTACTGCGTGGGCGTGCCCGGAACCCCTACCTCGCGAACATCAACCGCAGGCCCGACTTCAACAAAACCAGCCAACGGGTAAGTCCTAAAACATGCCAGTCTTCTTTTCTCAAGCCCGTCGACAAGTCAGGAGCTGACTGCTGCTTTCCCACTGCAGAGTGACGACCCCACAGCCCACGCAGCCCAACATGGTGCAGGACTGTGACCAGTTTGTCTACGTCCAGCCAGGCGATCAGTGCGGCACAGTCGCATCCCGCGCCGGCGTTTCCCTGAGCGACTTTCTCCAGTGGAATCCGAGCACCGGAAAGGACTGCTCAGGACTGTGGGCCAACGCGTATGCCTGCGTCGGGGTGATTCCAGCCATCGCGCTCAGTGCCCGCTACCACGCCGACTGCACCGGCGCAACCCACAGCACGGAGCACTTTAACCCGGGCACCGGCCACTGTGTAAACACAGCCTGCCAAGTCGCTTCGCTTGACATTGCGGCCAAGGGCACGTGCCCTGATGGCAACGTCCGCATCAGCTACTGGGAGCAGCCGGATTGCACGGGGAGCTGGTTCGGCTACGGATACGCCAGCCGTGGGCAGTGTCGCACGCTCTGGTCGGAGGGGTGGAAGTTTAAGTCGCTCTACATCACCTGCGCATCAAAGGAGAGTGATTGTGTGAGCCAGAACAGCTGTACCATCTCTCCCATTCCAAACAACAACGTTTGCTAGAGTTCAGGTTGAGAAAGGGCATGGGTGTTGTTTGACACTTGGCCGTGTTCGCATCACGATATTTTCATGCTTTGTTACGCTTGGGCGCAATTCTCTGTATGACATGCAGGTATCCGTAGAGTCCATCCCTGTCTCTGATAGAAGACACTGGCAGGGTATAGAGAGGAGATGGAATAGACCCAGAAACAAGAATACATAGAAGTAGAGAAATAAAGAAGAAACTGACAATAATCAAGATGAATTCAATCAACCCTCTTCACAACATAGCCCTTGTAGAAAGCGAACATCGAAGATTGGTCAAACTAGGTACAGCGAAGTGCTTTTACTCTTCTGCCGTCTGCAACTTGCCATTCGCTACGCTCCACCAGGACGGACTCATCCGAGCGCATCAGTACAATATTGTCTTTTTACGTTTCTTTGCCTTGCGTAAGCCTGAATGGCATACCCATGTTCTGCAGGCGCGTGTCTATGTACTTGATGGCCTCCCAAAAGCTGGCTTCGCCACCTATGCACGCGCCGCTTTCGAGGTGCTGTGCCAGCGCGCTTACCGTCTTGAATTTTCGAATGGCTTTTGAGTTGCCGTTCTCGCTCCCAGATATTGCTGCCGGACAGTAAATAAAAGGCTCCTGGTGAGCCGCTGACTGGATGTGATGCTGGAGAGCTGTTGCATCTCGAAAGGGGCGACGATGGAGAGGGCAGAAGGGGCAGCGATGCGAAGGAGACTGCGAGATTAGCAGGGTCCAGTCAGATATGCTGCCACTTATGGGTGTCAGACATCCATCCGAGGTAGAGCTCAAGGACAGACTCGACGGTGTGCGCATGAGAATTGAAACGACATCTGACTGGGCCTCGAGGAAAGCAGTACCATGAGGCGGCATCTTGGTGATGAGCCTTTCGGTGTCATACTGTGTGATCAAGATTTTCAACTGATCGTAATCCATGCCTGAAGAACAAGCGCCACTTTCGAGGTGGTGAAGCACGGCAGATAGGCTGCAAAACCTTTTTTTGCACGATGCGCCAGCAAAGCAACCCAGACTGCCCAGCGGCCGATGTGCAAGAGAGCCAAGGTGCTGCTCCAACGACCACTCGGTAGCAAATGTACGACAACACTTGCTGCAACAGAAACTTGTCGCCTCGATTTCCTTTGTGGTCTTCTGCGCTTCGCTTCTATTGGTGGCAGCTGGACGTTCGTGAACCTTGTATTGAAGGTGCTGATCCAAGGCGGCGCCGGTATTAAATTGCCGATCACAATCACAGCAACGAAACTCGGTCGAGTGTAGTAATACCTGAATATGTGATTTGAGTCCTTGATCGGTCTTGAAGACTTTGTTGCAGTCACCACAGTAGCAGTGTCGCTGTGTCCTTTGGTGACTGGCCAACGACAGCCTTGACACAAGATTTTTCGAGCAAGTTGGACACTTGTAACAATGAACAGCACGAATGTGATTTTGAAGGTCTGTTGAAGATGCTAGAGCTTTGTCGCAGTCCCGGCAAAAGCAGTGCTTTGTTGCCTTTTTATGTTGCTTTTCCGCCGACTGTCTCAAGAATACAGCGTTGCAAACATCGCAGAAAAACATTTTGGCGACACGAATGTTGGCGACACCAATCTTAGATTGATGAAAAAACTTTCGAGAGTTTCTTCCTGAAGCACGTGTATTTGAAAGCAAAGACTCGGGGACGTTTGTTCTTCACGCTTCAGTCCCCCTGACGAATCCTGGAATGGCAGTCGCGACTGAGGAATACTTCCCCACATCAATGTATTTAACGCCGTCGTGAAACGTTCACTGTCGGCATCGAGATGGGAGACGTAGTTGGGCTACCGGCCATCTCTTTTCCGCGGTCGATCTGGAATAATACCGGGGTTTGATTGATCTTGTTGGTGCGTGCCAGTGCGACATTATGCCAATCTATAGTCAGAACGGCCACCTCTAGGAGCACATGTTTTCTTTTAAAGTTATCTAGCCTAAACAAGATGGCGTTTTCAAAGTAAAATGGCAAGTGTTGAGGGGCCTTGGAGGCCTACCGACGGCGGCGGCGGCGGCGGCGGCGGCGGCGGCGTTATAGGAAAATTTAGTGTTGATGGCGGCGCCGCGTTACCTAAGTGATACTTTTATGTGTATATAATTTGCCTATATAAAATAAAGTCTCGCGTAGAGTTATGTGCACCTGTTCCCCTAGCAATATGGCACTGTAATACTCTTTTGGGGAAAAAAAAATATGAAAAAACAATCGTGTACTCTATCGCTCTTTCTAGGAAGCATTTACTTGGAGTGACGCTCTGGAAATCACCCGCATCAATTTACTTACATGTAAACAAGATTATGATCTCACCTCGGGTGTAAAGCTCCACTGGATTCCGAGGAAATTGGACCATTAGATTCCCGCAATCTCTGATCTATTGCAACCTAAAGGTGACGTTTTTTTACCCTGAAGCTGGTAATATTTTGTACTCTGATATCCATGCATTGAATAGACCCGTGTTAGCTTCGATTAACACTTTAGTCCCACCGCCTAACTTCTTTACGTGGCGGAAGTGCGAACGTTCAGAAGCTAGCTCGATATCTGTTCAGCATTCGATTTATACCCGCCGAATAGTTCCGCAGTCGAGTTCGAAATCTCCCGCACGACCTTCCCTTGAATTTAAGTATTCTTTTTTTTAAGTAGCAACATGGTGTGGCGCTGCTGCTAGCGGCACGAGAGGATGAAATGAGATTACCGAGTTAGGCTCATCGTAGGCAGCACCAGACCTACGATCCTGCCAAAACCGCCAGGACAAGATAATGCACCGCCTGGAGTCTCATGAGAGCAAGCGGCGCTAATAGATGTACCTGAACCGCGGGAGCTCCCTATCCGTCTTGTCCGACAAGTTCACCACGATAGCGTCCATCATGTCGGTCGAGTCGCTTGTGGCCGCTTCCGTCTCACAAGGCAGTCTATCGCGACGCTTATTCTCCCACAGAGTGTAAAACAGGGTAATGACAGAAATAACAATAGTAGCCAAAATGCAGATCAGCATGGCAAGATAGCCCGATGGATAGGAGGGTGCTTCTGAACCCTTATAGAGCTGCGGGCCAATAATGTTTCCGGCGCAGCCAGCAGCAAAGATCTAATGCACGGGGTGATTAGAGCAGATACCTCGTTGGTGCAAGGCGTCAAGAAGAGAAAGTTGCAAACGTACAAGAGCAGACGCTACGGACTTTTTGGTGAAGCCCGCAAAATTGCCAGAGGTGAGGGCGGCGAGCAGCCCATAGTTGGCCGTGTACATGTCGGTCAGAACCGCGCCCGCCCAGCGACCCCCATTTCAGGCGCGGCGGGAGCTGGCGCATGAGGATGATGCCAAAGGCGCTGATGCACAGGCAGACAATCATCCAGAAGATGCGCGTGTTCTTGTACCGCGTGCTGGCCCAGCCCACGTAGAGCTTCATGAAAAAGATGATGGGGAACTGGCACGCGTTGAGGAGAAAGACCTCGCGCTTGGTGAAGCCGGTGCCGCGCAGAAAAATGTTTAAAAACTATGACGGTTTCAGCGAGGGACGAATGGCGATGCGCAGACGGCTGGACAGATCAATGGTCCATCTTCGGGGCTTTTCTCCAAATCGTCCCCTTGAACTTTTTTTACATACCGGATGTAGTCCTCCATTGGGAATGTTGAGCGCCAGCTGGTTCAAAACGAGCAGCCATGTATGCATGTCGCAAAGCGCCTCGCGTAGCTGAGGCCAACTAAAGTTTGTCGACTTGATGCCTGTGAGATTGTCGCTGACTCTGGCAATGGCCAGAATGCGCTCCTGTTTGGTGAGGAACCAAGCAGTTGAGGGTACATCGGGGAGCATGAGAAAGACGACCCCGGATGCAACAACTGTGGCACCTCCAAGGATAAGATATAGTGCCTGTACATTGATGGTGTGTTTAGTTAAATCGGCAGCTGCTGCTTGTTGCGACGAGTTTAGGGCTGGCCATACCTTCCATGATGCAATCGTGTGTATATTAGTAACGCCGAGTCCAACAAAGCTGCCAACAAGGCCTCCGATGCTGCCTCCCAGATACCACAAAGACTGCCTGAATGGCTGCTCCTCTCGTGTATACCACATTGCCACGATTATGGTGAGCCCGGCCGTGAGGGGAGCCTCGGCCACGCCCAAGAAGAAGCGATTGATCAAAAGCCCCGTAGCATCGCGGCAAGTCACAGTAAGCATTGCGATTGCGCCCCATGCGAGCCTACGTTGCACCTCATCAATCAGCCCTCCATCTCGCCCAATTTCACCCAATACACGGCGACTTACAGGGAGCCGGCGATCAATTTTGCGACCGGCCAGCGCACCATGAGGACTGCCGCCGGATACGATGCTGCGAGATACCCGAAATAGTATATGCCATTCGCCCAGGAATAGTCACTGTCGGTCAAGTGGAGATCTTCGCGGATGCCGAGGATCGAGGTGTAAGACAGCGCGAGCTTATCCATCAGATGGAAGCAGAAACAAAGAGTCATGATCGGCATAAGACTTTAATTCATTCTGTTCAGCAGCGAGCGCGTGACGATGGAATTCTCGAAGCGGCAACTCACTAAAGATCAATCTTGCGCTTCAGTGCCTTGCTCTTTTCCGGCGTCAGGCTGGCGCTCCTGTCGCCAGCCAGCTCCGTCTCCAGAATAAGCACATTTTGCAGCTCGCCTTTGCCAACTGATGCCATGGCTTACAGAACTCGCGATGGAAAGAATGTCGTCACTGGCTGTCAGCTTGCTTCTTTTCTCGAGGCCGTTTGTAGTAATAATTGGGTTAGATCTGTTGGGTTCGAAGCTGAAAGAGTGCGGGGGCGACACCAGACAGGATATCATGCAGTCCCTAGGCCAGAGTGTCTCGGGTGCAGGAATATATTGCATGCGCAGTGAGACTCGCATGCCAATAGCTTTGATTATTACTGTTCCGACAGCAAAGGCAGACCTCGAGATGTGACAAAAACAACGCGACGGAAAAGCCTGACGCGATGAAAGAATTGAAAGGTCCTCCATTGTCACGGTCAATATGTATCTTGTATATAAGAACACTGGGATAAGACATTTGGCGGCGCCACCGTAATGTGCCCCTATTTCACCAAAGCTTCGCGACCCAGCCTTCTGAATATATTCACTGTGACTAGCCACCATTGGTTGCATGCCCGTCACGAAAAAAAAGAAAAAAAAACCTTGACGTGCAGACGAAGGCGCAAATCAAGCGAATGAAAGCGCGAATCTCGTACCCGCTTCAAGGCCAACCAACCACCATCGGCAAGGACTTGGGAGCCTGCCGACACTAACTCTACTGGTAGAAGCTGAGAGCAAAGGTGCCAAGATTTCGAAATGAGTTTCTAACACTGCCAGTACCCAGGCAAATCTCGCAAAGGTGTTTCCTGTTTTGCAGTTGGGACCTAACAAGGGTGGAAATGGTTCACAAGAGGCAGAACTCCTTGGACCCGCGAAACCTTTGGGTAGTGGATCGCGCAATGCTGTCATTGGCCAAACCTTACTGTCAAACTCACTTTATATGAATGGGATAGAACTACTCCACTGCGGCAACTGTGTTACACCTTTCTGGTAGCACAATAATAGCCGCTGAAGCGATCGTTTCACGGGGGCTAGCCGCGAGGAATTTATGAAGCAAACTCTTAGCGCTCGCATTGTATTTAGGCACAGAAAACTTGTCATCGCAGAATGAACAGGTAGCGACTCACCCTTGTACCTTCCCGTGGATCAAGATTGCAGTGATTCAGAGTCGTAAGCGCGTGCAGGGTAGCCGTGGATATGTAAACCAGAGGCATCGCTAGCACCTTTTGCTCTACACTCGACCAATTCTTTTCGCCAAATTCAATTTGGGCGAGCCAGATCTGCATCTATAGATATAGCGTTCTTGTGCCAACAGATGCTGCGCATACCATGGTTGCTCTTTGGCAGAGAATATGCTAATTGAAGTCGCCAAGCCACCTCTGTATCTAGTCACCGGCGGGAAGCCCCATCAGCCAGGCGCAACATGATTTTCCATCTAGCACAGTATACTCGTCTATCAAGGCATTGGCGCCTGGCCTCTCAGCACAGCAGATGGCCACTTCGCGCTCGGCCCGGACAGCATGGAGCCGGGGAGCGCTGTGGTTGGTACTCCATGGCGAAACCACACCATTTGTGGTTCAACGAAGAGGATAATCTAGCGAACATGGCTGGACTCTGATAAGATAATGCTATGTGCACGGCATGTTGTCGAATGGCGAAGCGTTTGCTATGACAGGCGCGGTACGGATTAGAAGAGACGTTTATGATTCATGGAGCGCTGATCTTGTGGCACTCTTCATCCATACTGACGACCAATGTCCCCGAAATTATAAATTACAAGTCATCAAGAATCTTGATTCAACCTCACAATTAATATGCCACAATTCATTATATCCGTGAATGTCTCGGCCGGCGCAGTCAAGTCGTCGTGCCGACTTATATGCTCAACTGCAAGGTGGGGCCGACAAAATACAAGACGGGAAACTTTTTTTGCGAGAGTGTTCGAGCATCACATCGGCGCGACACCACACAAACGTCATGCCCCGGAATACGGTACAGCCCAATGCCTGGGTAGCACTGAAGCTTCCTAGTGGAAACGTGAAAATCTTACAAATAACGCCCAACACGTAAGATACCACATCACGCATCGACACACTGAGCTGTGGCAAGTGTTGGCCGCTAACCAGCTGTTTTGACAGAACCGTGAGCTTGGGGAAATACGGCTCCTTTCCCAGCAACCTGCTTCTCGACCGCCCGTACCACCTCACCTACGAAGTCCAAGACAAGCGCGAGCCCGAGACATTTTCGCGACTGCGCGTCGTGCCCGGCACGGAGCTCAACGCCGATGCGCTCATAGACACGACGGCAGAAGACGAAGCGGCGAACGCCACGCCCGAAGCGGAGCCTGCCGCCGAAAACAGCGATGACGTGAACGAAGCCATGATTGCGGCGGCTGTGGGCGAAGAGCTCGCCCTTGCCGATGGGGAGGAGGAGATTGTCGAAGGCAGCACCGAAAAAAGCGTCGTCACGCGCAAGACGTTTGACGAGCGGGCGCGCCAAACGCTGACGACGGAGGAGATTGAGGAGCTCAAACGAAAAGGTGCGGGCGCGGGCAGGGAGATTGTCGCCAAGTTGCTGGTGCGTCACACGGCGATTGACCAAAAGACTGCCTACTCGCTGGCAAAGTACAAGCTGCTCAAGGAGAAGAAATATGTGCGCCGCTTTACGGTCCTGCCGTTGGACGTGCCCATGCTGGCGCAGTGGATGCTTGAGGACAAGGACGCCAGCAAGATTCTGGAAATGCGACAGGAACTGCTGGCGCTGGTCGGGTGCTGGGCCGACGTGCACTTTGGCGGCCTGCCTGTCGAGGGCGCGACGACGCCGCACGGAGGCAGATGGCTCGCAGTCGACGATACCGGCGGTCTATTAGTCGTCGCCATGGCTGAGAGAATGGGCATCCTCTACCGTGACGAGAACGAAGAGGATCTGCAAGAGGACGAGACGGAGCCGGTGCCGGCGCAAGATCCTGCCACAGAAGATGCCAACGGCGGCGTCGAAGAAGACGCCGCCTCGACGACGACGCGCCCGCCGCCACGCAAAAGGCCGTACAAGGACGACCTCGCGCCGCACTACGCGCTCCGCAACTCCATCACCGTCGTGCACGCCAACTCGCAGCCGAACCTGTCGCTGCTGCGCTACTTTGGCTTCGACGCCAGCGACCCGAACCCGCAGGAGCCCTACCACCCGCTCGCCACGCACCTGCTCCCCGTCAGCTGGCTACAGGTGCTGTCGCCGGACGACGACCCCGCGTACGCGGACCGTCCCGCCGACGTGCCTCTCGAGGAGCTCGCCACGTGGAAGACGAACCGCCGCGGCAACTACCACCGCAAGCGCCGCCGGTGGGCGCGCACCCGGCAAATCGTCGACGGCACCCGCGCGGGCGGCTTCGCGGGGCTTGCCGTCGCCAGCACCATGGACCCCGTGTCCGTCTTGCGCAGCGCGCTGCCGCTGCTCGCCGGCGGGAGCCCCGTCGCCATCTACTCGCCCACGGTGGAGCCCCTCGCCCAGCTGGCCGACTGCTTCAGCATCGGGCGCCGCGCCGCGTGGGTCACGAGCCCGCCTCCCGCCGCCGAGGGCAAGTCGCTCACGGAACTCGAGTCGTGGGACGGCTCGGCTGAGTTTCCTATAAACCCGACGCTCATGGTCGGCGTGTCGGTGCAGACGAGCAGGGCCAAGCGCTGGCAGGTATTGCCGGGCAGGACGCATCCGTTGATGATGGGCAAGGGTGGTGCCGAAGGGTACTTGTTTACGGGGTGGAGGGCGATTCCGGCAGAGGGAAGAATATCGGCGCGCGGCAAGTTTACAAAGCGAAGGATGTAGGGCTTTGGGCATGGTCGAGATACCCTTTGGATTGTAACGACGTATCATGTAAATGAATATTGGCATTGGCATTCAGATCTACAGCCTTATATGAGCAAGTCCCAAGTAACGAGTAAACCTAGCGTCGTGCCTTGGAAGAAATGTGTTCGCTATATTGACGTTATAAAGCAGTAAAGTCTATGTTTGCCCCAATTCCGGCCAGTCACATTTATAGCGCCTTGCCCATAAACTTTCTCTTTGTAAAGCTCAACCACCACTTGCTAGGCTTGGCGTCGTCTTCCTCATAGACACGTGCAAGTATGCGAATGGCAAGCTCCTGGCGGATCTGGGCCATGTACTGGCGGAGCTGCTCAGCGTCCTGTCGATCGCGAGGCGGTTCATACATCTAGCGAGCAACTGCGTTAGCCTGATCCCCTCCCCAAAGCAAAAGAAGAACGGAAAAAAAAAAAAAAAACACATGTCAAATCTTTACGCGAAAACATACCTGGTTCAGAGGCCACGCCGGATCGCCCGGCAGCGCAAAGTGCAGGTCCAACGCCAGGTTCATCACCTCCTTTTGCGCATCGCGCACCGTGGCGTTGGGCTTGATCTTGGTCAGGCAGTCGCTGAGAAACCAGATGCCGTAGATGAGCAGGCGGTCTGCGGGGCCCTGAATCTCAAAGTTGCGGAAAAAAGTGTTGGCGCGGAAGAGCGAGATGACCTCGTCGAGGATGTCGTAGCTCTCCGAGTCAGGGTCGGGCGACTCGGACGCGGGCAGCGGCGGGCTGGGCAGCGGCAGCGTGTAGGCCGGTCCGCGGACCTTGGTGCGTAGTGGGAGGAGGGGGAAGTTGCCGATGAGGCGCGGGTCGGGCTCCGAGTTGAAGACGGAGTTGTAGGCCTAAAAGACTTGTCAGTCAGCACGTGCCCGGGGGGAGGAGGTGTGCATTTGAGGTGGTAGAGTCGGTATGGCGAGAGAGAAAGGGAATGGAGCGTATCAGGAGGATCGCGTACAGGCATTGTGATGGACTCTGGAGCAGCGCTACGACAGAGGGGAGTTTCTGGGTTTCTGCTAGACGAGCTGGTTCAAGAAGCTGTGATGGCGTATGCAGCTTCATCATGGCGGGGCTGTCGCTCAAAGCCCCGTCAACGAGTGTGGGAAAGTGCAAAGAGTGGCTGTGCACCAGGAGCTGTGGCTGGAGCTGTGGCTGGAGCTGTGGCTAGCAGTGCAATGGTGCCTCGCTCGGGCATATTTTAACGATGCAGGTACCAAGCAAGGCACGGCGGGGTTTTCAAAGTTTACAAAAAAAAACGATAAGAAAAAAAAAAGTAAAAATCATGTCATAATGTTTCAAAGCAGGTTCTTTTCACGTTTGATTTGAAAGCATGACTCTTTCGGCGACCGTCCCTGCGGGCTGACGTCTGGAGCAGCTCGATGCCGTGATATGTGCGGCGCGGGCGGAGACATAGATGGACGGGCGATCATGTGATCGGTATTGCGTGGAATTGCCCACGGAAGGCTGTCGGAAGTGATGTAGAAGAAATGGCAATTTTTTACGAATATTTTGGTTAAATAAATGTCATGTAAATTGCCCTTTTCCGCGCGTTAAAAAGACCGTCATTGCCCGCGCAGAGGGCTCTAGATGTCTCATCGTCATGGACCAAAACCCAAATCTCCGAGTTTAGCGACTTCAACCCCAGCACATAGTATTGGTCTTTTGTCGGGGAATCTCGCTGTTCGGCATCTCGCCTAGACTTTGGCATTGTCAAAGTTTATTACGGCAACGACAGTCGGAGCCGCTATAGCTCCGCAGCGGGGTAGCTGCTTGGCTTTTGACTTGCGGCCTCGTAAAAAAAAGACAGAAACGACCGGTTTTAGGTGGCGACCGGACTCGGGGCATAACGCCGCCATGACATAGGTAGCTCACTCGTCGCAGCTCCCAATCTGTTTTTAAGTCTTCATCTCCGGCCATCGCGATTCAATCATCCTCTTCAACTTTTTTTTTTCATACCCATCTACGTTTCTACCCTTGACACCGTTGATTCTGGTCAGAAAACACTATGGCGTCTACCGTAGGCAAGGCAAGTCGGCCCTGCCCCTCATTGTGCACGAATTACCCCTCTATTGGCGGCGGCTCGGTGCCCATGACGATGCCATTCGTACAAGCTGCGAAAACTGACCAGAGCGACAAAACAGACAATCACCTGCAAGGCTGCGGTCGCGTGGGAATCCGGCAAGGATCTTACGCTTGAGGACATCGAGGTCGCTCCCCCCAAGGCCCACGAGGTCCGCGTTCAGATTCACTACACTGGTGTTTGCCATACAGGTACGAGCGGCATTTGACAGAGCGCGCCACGAGAAAGAAGCTCACTCTGGGAAACAAAATATAGATGCGTACACGCTCTCCGGCAAGGACCCCGAGGGTGCCTTTCCCATCGTCCTTGGACACGAGGGTGCCGGCATCGTCGAGTCTGTCGGCGAGGGCGTCACCAATGTGAAGCCCGGTGACACTGTCGTCTGCCTCTAGTAAGAAGCCCGCGTCTGTTGTTGCCACGCCGAGAAAAAAAAGCGCCATACTCATATTGTGACCTTGACAGCACCCCCGAATGCAAAGAGTGCAAGTTTTGCAAGTCGGGCAAGACCAACCTCTGCGGCAAGATCCGCGCCACCCAGGGCAAGGGTGTCATGCCCGACGGCACCTCGCGCTTCAAGTGCAAGGGCAAGGACTTGCTGCACTTCATGGGCACCTCGACCTTTTCGCAGTATACGGTTCTGGCCGACATCTCCGTCGTCGCCGTCCAGCCCGACGCTCCGCTGGACCGCACCTGCCTGCTGGGCTGCGGCATCACCACCGGCTACGGCGCCGCGCGCGTCACCGCCAACGTGGAGGAGGGCTCCAACATTGCCGTCTTTGGCGCCGGCTGTGTCGGCCTGTCGGTAGTCCAGGGCGCCGTCATCAACAAGGCGGCCAAGATTATCGTCGTCGACGTTAACCCTTCCAAGGAGGAGTGGTCCAAGAAGTTTGGCGCCACGCATTTCGTGAACCCCAACGACCTCAAGGGCCAGACGATTGTAGAGAAGCTGATTGAGATGACGGATGGTGGCTGCGACTACACGTTTGACTGCACTGGCAACGTCAACGTAATGCGCGCGGCCCTCGAGGCTTGCCACAAGGGCTGGGGCGAGAGCATCATCATCGGTGTTGCTGCTGCCGGTCAGGAAATCTCCACCAGACGTAAGTTGTTGCTCACTTGGATTTTTTAAAGTGATTTTTTTTTCTTTTTGCTGACCATTTCGCAGCGTTCCAGCTTGTTACGGGCCGTGTGTGGAAGGGGTGCGCTTTTGGCGGCATCAAGGGTCGCTCCCAGATGGGCGGTCTCGTCCGCGACTACCTCGACGGCAAGCTCAAGGTCGACGAGTTCATCACCCACCGCAAGACGTTGGGCGAGATTAACAATGCCTTTGAGACGATGAAGGACGGCGACTGCATCCGCGCCGTCGTCGACATGCAGAAGGTGTAGCCAGCCTAGCCCACAAGTCGATGGTGTAATAAATGTAGCATGACGGATGATGATGAGAAAAGTAATCAATTGAGACAATGTACGTGCTTTGTGTTGTTGCAATGTGGTGAATAAGGTGAATGTAGGCGTAGTGTTGCAAATGTGTGGCGCCTTGGCTGTTAAGTACTCGGTCGGACTGGCGCTGACCTTGATGGCCATCCGGCCATGTCAACCCCGAGCCGCGACCGAGTATGACGCTGAAATGGCCATCTAATAAATGACACAGGGGGAGAAGGTCGGTAGAGCAGGCGTGAGAGTGAAAAAATCCGGAAAAGAGACAAGAACGAAAATGTGTAGATTCACTCCGTCGATGAATCTCTGTGCATCTGCGATAGGATGGAGCCACCCGGAGCGTCCTTAGCCGGGCCACTGCTTTCGCGTCAAGTTTCTACAATGCTCTTGTGCATCTTGATCTAATGCTATGTATATAACAGACTGCTTCGGCTGGCTGATTAGATTTTTTTTTATTTTTACTTTTATTTTTAATTTTATTTTTAATTTTTTTTTACATTTAAAGGGTGACATTCCAATATCGTCTCCGAGACTAGCCCATGAACGTGGAGATCAAGCAGGCAAAAACTGCCCTTCATGACCTATCCTCCCCGATTCTTGTAGTGCTCGTCTATGAGTCTATCATCATGGATTGCTATGCTGTCTCTTGGTTAGCTAACGCCGCTGACGGAAGTATGTTTCTCACATTTTCACCCGCTCTGTCTTGTCCTTGATGAGGCATGTATTCACCGATGATTGATACCCATGCCGCCGTTGCATTGTTCTCAGGAGCGGACTAGGCCCGCGTTTCCCCTTTGCAATTTGCACCTCCTGTTGAAATGTTGCCTTTTGCCTCTACGTCTTGCTTAGAGCCTAATGTCACTGGTCGTATTGTACCAAGTGTGCTGGGCTTCCGCCTTTACCTTGTTGAACGACAATAGAGTTCTCAGGCCTAGCAGACTATCGTTTTTTTTAAAATGCTACTAAGATTCAATGCGTGCAAGTATCATTTATGCAAATTATTATTATTTTTATCGATACAGCAGATATGCCCGACGCCACTAGATTCCTGCAACCCCGTGTTAGTGGCAGCTACCATGTCATCTTATAACCCACATGTCACCGAAATCGGGTGAAAGGGGGGGGGGGTCACAATGAATTCACTCTTCTTTCGGCGAAAAGCAACACTTGCTACAACTCAAACCTGCTTTCCCTGAAAAAAAAAAAAAATAGCCTCGAAAAATGCTGCCAGCAAAGAATGAATTACCTCGCGCCGAACGCCAAAACGTTGCGTCACGGCTCGGCCTCCAAGTCCTCGGCAATCCAGCCATTCTCACAACCATTCTGCAAACAGCAGGGCTTGACCACCGCCGGTCAGCAGACATTTGCAGCTCCCTACCAGAAAGCAAATACCAGTCACCGCTGCAATGGCCGCTGCGCAAAAAGCTCGTCATCCTCACCGGCCCCTACATTGCTGCCGCCCTTGCCGCCTACTCGGCCGGCGCCTATGCGCTGGCCTCGCAGCCGCTGCGGGCGCGGTGGAACGTCACCGAGACGGAGTATGCGGTCGGCATCACCCTGTTTGTCAGCGGCTTTGGATTCGTGCCCATGGTGCTGGCGCCGGTGAGCGAGGCGTACGGCCGGTACTGGGTATTCGTGGGCGCCGGGGCCGTCTTCTTGCTCGGCACGCTGGGCTGCGCGCTGACGGCGAGCTACGCGGGCATGCTTGTGTCGAGGTTCGTGACGGGCATGGGCGCGTCGGTGTTTGCGACGCTCACGGGCGGCGTCGTCAGCGACGTGTTTGACCGGGATCATCGGAATACGCCAATGGCGCTGTACTCGCTCATGATCATGGTCGGCACGGGCTTGGGACCGCTGGTTAGTGGCTCAATGGTGGATTCTCTGGGGTGGCGCTGGATCTTTTACTTGCAAATGATTATGATTGCTGCAACGTCGGCAGTGATTCTGGTGCTGTTCCAGGAGACGCGAGGAAATGTCATTTTGGCCAGCCTGTGTCACGAGCTCAACAAGAAGATGGCAGAGAATGATGAAACATGCCAGCTACGCTTCCATTCCGACGTGGTCCAAGAGAAGCTAGACATGGGTATAATCTACCGCAGTTTTGTCTTTCCACTACGATTGCTCATTTCTGAGCCCGTTGTCCTCTGCTTTTCGCTGTGGGTATCCTTTGCATGGGCCATATTGTACATGCAATTCAACAGCATCGGCATTGTCTTTCGGAGCGTATATGAGTTTTCCAGCCGCCAAGTCGGATTAGTCTATGTTGCCGTTGTGGCCGCATCTATTCTGAGCGCCGCCATTGCCATTGCGCAGGATCCCGTGCTGCGACGAATCTGGCCGCAGAGAAGCACCTCCAACACACCGGAAAGCCGACTTTTATCCACCAGCGTCCAATCCGTGCTTCTTCTAGCCGGGTTATTTTGGTTTGGATGGACATCTAGGCCAGAGATACACTGGATATTCCCCGTGCTGGCCATTGGCGCATGCACCATGGGCATCTTTAGCATCTACCTCGCCGTCTTCAACTACCTGGCCGACACATATGGGAGATATTCATCGTCGGCTCAGGCAGCGCAGAGCATGTGTCGCAATCTCCTGGCGGGCATCTTTCCGCTATTCACGCACGTAATGCTGCGGAATCTGACGTATCACGGCGCGGGGAGTCTTTTAGGCGGCCTTGGACTGGCGTTGACGGCCGTGCCGTGGCTGCTGAGCTTTTTTGGGCCCCAGATCCGAGCTAAAAGTCCGTTTGCAAAGACTGTGATGGAGTAATGAAGACAGCACAGGCAGTCATGATGCAACGCAGGTTGGGGCAAAGGGCAATCAAGATAGTGTTGGAAGCATCTTTTCTAGTCCATACTTGGGCCGCCAAGCTTTCATCACTCTCTGACTTCCATAAAACCCCACAATGTACCATCAGGCTCCTTTGCTTCAATACCAGACCCATCAGAGCGCGCTGATATTGGTTTGAATCCGAACCAGAACGGGCTCTGGATGCGATATCCGTTTTGGCGCTTGATGAGTATAAAATTTTCATCCCCTTTCTGTGCAGTAGCTCGGGCAACAAAGTTCCACCAAAAGTCGTGACCAAGATATTTATTTTCAGCGAGGCTGCGAAACCCGATGAAGCCGTCAGTCTCGGTACAGAGCCACTTCCAACGCTCAGGAATAGGTTCACTCATGTCATATTCAATGACATTGTCAAGGATCAAATGGCCACCTGGGTGGCAGGCCAAGACTCGGTCGTAGGTCTTGTCAACGATGATGAGGGTATCGCCAGGCGTCGGGTCGTGCATGTGATTGCGTTTCACAGCCTCTTGTAATTCGAGCCACACTCTGATGGAGGAATTCTCCTCGGATTCGGTATTGGGAGTAAGCAAGCCGTTTTGCGTCAGATCCGGTGTGAGGTTTGATTCGATGCCATCAGCGTCGGTGTATTGGGACATAGTTTGGCCAACGCAAACCAGAGTGAATGATGGAAACAGCAGGATGTGTGCCCAGACACCCAGATTAATTGTAGAACTTGCTACGCAGGCTTGCGGGGTATGATGACCAAAACAAGGTCGTTGATCGGCACCAGGCGGGGTGATTTCGTACTAGTACGAATAGTTCGAGCAGCTACGCAATCCAGTTCTATCATCTTACACGTATCGAGAAAATATATAGGCAATTTTCCAAAAAAAAAAAAAAAAAAAAAAAAAAAGAAATAGAAAAATAAAAAATAAAAATAAAAAAAAGACCACAAACTAGATTGATACCTCAATGGTCATTCTCTGTGTTTTCATTTTGACCAGATGAGTAACATGGATGCTAGTTTTCATCGTTGAGTGGCAACGGGGTGTCCAAACACGAAAACCTGATTTCCCTTCTCTCCTCGAGGATAGAAGAAATAGTGCTAGTCGGCAGGGAGCTCTAGAGGCGACACTTATTAACCCCTGCCAAGTCCATATAACTCTATCTGTACTCCGTAACGAAAACGTTAATGAAAGGTCTCCCGACTCGCGGTGCTAAAGTGGGTCGACGTTTACACAGCCCAAAGCTAGTTTGCGTTCGCGGTAAGACCCAGCCCTACAGTAACCAGTCTCATCATCATCAAACTGGGCATCACCGTATCACTGTTTATCTCTCCCGCTATTTCGATAACCTCTCAGAGGCGTTCGTGATTGTTCTCGGCAACTATTCAACAGCCGTGACCGTCTTTCTACAAAACGGCATTCGTTTCTCATGACCAAGTAAATCCACCGTGATCGGGCGCGCTAAAGATGCAGCTCAGCGTCGGTCCATTTCTCTGCATCTGTATGCTTTTGTTAGCGGTGAGCAAAACCGGCAGCCCAAATGAAAACGAAATTTCGTGACGCGACACTGACTGGTCTGGATGCGCCAGTTCAGTATCATGACAGAGGCTGTCCAGCGTGGCGATATTGAGGAATATGTGCGCCAATTCCGAGACCAGATTCTACTCTACGACGGCACCACCCCAGGTCACCAAAATGTCACGGCGGCATTTCTGCCCGCCGTGCCGGCCGCGAACCAGGATATATCGCGCGCGGTAGCGTTTGCGCGTCGTGGCGATTTGGACTCGGCTCGCGCAATCGCCGCACTCTACGCCTATGCGGTGATTGAGTACCAGGACATTGGCCAGGGCCGCAACCGTGACTACTTGATACTGCGTGAGGAGCTCGACAGCAACGGCCTTGGCAGAAGGAACTGGGGCATGTATATCTTTGCGAAGACTGGTCCAAGAGGTGCTTCCTACGGCACGCCAATCTCGATTCAGGTCCCCCACCCCGTGTTTGACAGGAACACGCCCGAGCTGGGTATCAGAACATTTGTCGAGACCAACGCAGATTCTTTCTTCATTGCCGGCATCTATCGGTATAGCACCGAAGCTTCGAAAGAACCGTCCACGTGGTCCAACGCCAGCTCTTCTGACATGGCCCACAACGAGCACAGCTTGTTCCTCCAATTAGCAGAGGATTTCACGCGGCCGGCTGCATTCAACTACTCTCGTGGGCAGAGAGCCACAACGGTAATACAGATCCATGGGTTCGGAAACAGCGACATGGAAGACGGCAAGTGGACCTACAACCCCAAAAGCTCATATCCCCAAATTGTTCTCAGCAATGGTGATAAGTCGCTACGAGGGAAGCGCGTGGCTATCCTGGACCGCCTATCTCAGGAGTTTTGGAAACGTGCACCGAAAAGTAATCAAAGGATGACGACGGGGGTTTACAATGGCTGGGAGTACAGCGATCTCGGGGCGACTGGCAATGTTGTCGGGAGGCGCATTCGCGCACGAGGCGACGGTTCTACCTTTATCCACATTGAGGCCGACCCGTCTATTCGGGTCACTGATGGATGGGCCAAGGCGCGGAATATCGATGCGCACGCAGATCGCGCAGAGAAACATGGTCGGGTCGGCCGCACGTTGCGCCTGGTTCTAACGGCCGAGGACGGGCCGCCGCACTTGATTGCACAGAAGCTGTAGCGGATGGAAGTGTATCGAATCTACGATTGTATACTATAAACCTCCATGATCAACTCTATATACTCCTCTGCAAATGTCATTTTGAGATCGAATGGTGTGAAAGGCCTCCATCAAGCCGCGGAAATGGATCCATGCAGCAATCATGACGGCAACGTGGAGGATCTGGTGGCTGGCGCCAAAATTATCAAACGTGTAGGGAACCCATCTTTCAGGTATCTTGTTTGGTTAGCAGTGCACACGGTCGAGTTTGATCAGGACACGTACTCTTGCAGCATAGATCAATGCGCCCACGAGATTGGCCGTTGCCATCCAGCCCATCCACACCAAGGACATGCGCGACTTTTGCAGCTCCCACCCGTGAAGGATTAAACCATGAACTACAAAGATGATGGAACTGAGGCCAAACCCGGCGTAGAAGCTGGCACGTATCTGTCTGTATTCGGGTGTGACAAAGGCGGGGGTGAGTGTGAAAATGGTGCAGCAGAGTGCTGTGCTGGTCGTCTATTTGTGGTCAGAGAAAGATAGAACAAAAATCGAAGGAATCGAAGAAAATTACCATTGTCCAATACATGATTCGGAGACTGTGATTACAGATGAATCCGTAGTATATTGTTGGGATGCCCGCTCCCCACATCAGCACGAGGATGCCCAAGTAGTCGAGTTTATTGCAGAATCGTGAAACGTCGTGACTATGATTCCATAGCACATGGAATCTAGTCATGGGTTAGAAAAGGTAGATTTTTACTTTTTTTTTTTTTTTGTTTTCTTGCTTCAATGTCTCACTCACATGGTTGAAAAGATGAAGCACACAGCGACGCCTACGCAGTAAATGGAGACAACGAGCACATCTTCCTTTTGAGCGTTTGGCTGCCACGGAAAGATGTCGTGATGGAAGTGAAAAGGAAGCAGTAGGAAAATTAGTGCCCCGAAAAGGTGAGAGTATGTGTTGACAGTCTGGTTGTTGACATATAGCAGCGAAGTAAACGAAGTCCACGCTGAGCCAGATGTTGGCCTAATCAGGGATCAAAAGGTCAGTCTCCATGCTGGCTGAGAGGGAGAGAGAGAAAGAGAGATAGAGGGAGGCCAGTCAGCTTACCTGTAGCCAGACAGGATATGCTCGTTATCTTGCTGCCAAAACGGAAGCTCGTGGAAGAAGAGCAGCCTTGGCGTCTCGAGCCATGTCGCGCGGCCGTATTTCCGGACAGCCTCATGGCTGGGCGGCGGGGTTACAGGGGCGGACGCAACCTCTGTGGCCATGACGGATATGGGTGAGTTTTTCCTGAGCGACATGACTGGCAAGCCCAAGCTGAACCTGATACTCTTCGAAACGATCGTGTAGGAGCAAAGAGGGGTTACTACCAAAGGGTGAAGTTTACTGTTATGCATCAGCAAGGCTCGCAGCCTGCCGACGAGAAAAATCCAAACTGCATGAGGAGATTACACCTCGGCCTCTTTGCCGCCCAGCGGTGCTAGGTACAAAATCCTTGACAGGCCCCCCATTCCACCAACGACAGTCCCTCCACAGCCCTCCTATTGACTTTGGACAAAGCGAATCCTTCGAATTTTCAGGGGGAGAACAAGAAGCCCTGTCTTGCCTGTACGCCTCCTGTGGCGTCCAAAGAAAACAACGCTGTAACCGCCTGAGTTGCTCCGCTGAGAGGAAGAGGGCCTGAGGATTCTGTTGTCCCCGCTGGAGCTGAAGGGCAACGGCCGCGGATCGGCCCGGCCAAATTTTCGTCTGATACTTACCTAGTGTCTAAGGGCCAGCCGCCAGCCGCCAGCCTAGTTAAATCGGAATGAGGGGGGAATGGGGACACTAACCTCTTTTTAATACTCGTTAGTCTCTGAATTTATTTAGTGTTCCCCTTCTCTCTAGTCTATTTCATGTTAGTGCTGCAGTTTATCTCGTTGTTTGAACATTATACTACTGGCCTTAAGAACTTTGTTTTATATTTCTTTGTTTCTGCGTTTTTCATCTGTTGAGTCGGTTGCGCCATGTCGATTGCATTGCACAGGCCGAGTACTCTCAATTCCACACTTGTTGGGTATGTTGGTGAACCCAACGGTCGTGGTACACTCTCATTATTGTTCTCCTGCGTCTTTACTCTATCTCTCTGCGTCTGGTCGGCAATGCATCTTAACCTACCCGAGCTGGATGAGAGCCCCTCCTCATACTCATATAGATATTTCAAATGGAGTCTACTGGGGCTCTTTGGGCCCGAACTTGTGATATGGGCTGCATGGAGGCAGTACATCTCTGCTCAATCATTGACAAAGATCATTCGCAAGGTAAGCCATATCTTGCAAAATTCGGTTTGCGAGCTTGGGCTTACAAATTGTCAATAGGATTTGGCCACCGAAAGTGACGATATCCGAGCGCAGCAGTGGACCATGATTCACAGCTTCTACACCGGAATGGGTGGATTCGTTTTTGATTTGACGCCCTCCAACGAAGAGAAAGGCTCTCCGTTTATTACAACCCATAAGCGCTTGCACGTTACACCACGTGGCATCCAGCTTCTAGCCAAATGCGGCCTACTTCCCTGCATCACGGCTGGTGATATCACGGATAAGAGCAAGACGGACTGGTCGGGCAAAGCATTCTGCTGCCTACAAGTCTCTTGGATGGTGATACAAGCGATTGCGCGTGCGGCGACCGGCCTACCCGTCACCCCACTCGAGACCAACACCATCGGCCATGTCGTTTGCGCCCTCATCAACTATACTCTGTGGTGGAATAAGCCTCGCTGGGTCAAGGAGCCTACTGTTCTCCGCGGCGGGTGGACCGAGCCACTATGTGCTTTCATGTACATGTCTAGCCAAGTAAGCGCTGAGAAGCGGATAGATCGCGACCTCTTGCGTGACTTTGGCGTCAAAGCCGAGATGACGTCCGTTTTGTACTTTCCTGGCGATGGCGACGGCGACGACTCCCACAAGAAGTGCCACATTCATGAGCAGTATGCAATCGCCATGGATCCCCAGCACGATCCCATCTTACAGCCATCAGACGGCACTGTTCAGTTCCACTCCATCCCTGTACCCCTGAAGGGAGCATCAAGTCTCAAGATGGGACGCAGGCGCGCGCACTAAGCCGCCAGCACAGAATCCCAGGGAAGAGGTCCTGGAGCCCTTTCACGCCAATGTCAGACAAAGGCGATGGGACTTGGCTTGTGAAGCAATCCAGAGATACCCAATACTAAAATAGCGTCCAGAGCCCAAGGAGCTCAATGAGGATGAATTGCGATACCGAGAAGCGTTGCGGCTATACCCCGAAATGCCTGAAACGATCAAGCAGCAATTTCAGCGTCGATGCGGTGTCTCCGATTCGAGAGCACCGGCTTGGCAGTGCGAAGGGCTTGTGTGTCGCTCTGAAGAGCTCGTCGTCGAGCGCCCACGGAATTGGCCTGGCGATGACCTCGTGCGCAACATGCAGGGTCACCTCATGGGCCTCGTCTTGTGGAACGCCAGCACCGTCTACGGGGCCATTCACCTGGCAGGTTGGCATGAAGCTTTTCCGACAGTCCTGGAGTCATGGTTCTGGAGAGTATCAGCCATGTATATCATTTTTAGCGGCCTGCTATGGTCATTCCTCAACCTTCTTGGACACGTTTCTGGGCACGTCTGGTGGTATTGGTATGAGATACTGGCTGGTGGTGTCCGCCGACGCAGCCATGTCGTCATTTACGTTTTGTGCTGCATTGGCGGAACGCTTTATATTGTTGCTCGTGTTTTTCTAGTGCTCGAGGCCTTCATTTCTATCCGAGCGCTCCCTGCCTCGGCGTATCAGTCGCCCTCCTGGGTGCTGACAGTACCGCACATCTAGCAAGGCCGCCAACTCGGACGTAACTTGATTCAAGCATCCTCTGAAAATGACAATCTCGAATTTGACGTATGAACCAAGTTTCCACTCCGGAAACGGCAGCATAAAGGGGCAATTAGGCCTTTCTGATATCAAGTCTAAATAGCATTTGGCTTTTTTCTTCTCTTTGCCAGTATCTTGCCTGATGAGCGCAATGACGTCAGACAACACCAATCGAACAAAATGATGATCAGCTCTGCACCATGGATCGTGGCCACTCTAGCCAATGCGACCACTCAACACCCAAAAAGTCGACCAAAGATCTTAAAATAAAATCGCCGGCATCGCCAATATGCCACAAATGTCGACCGTGGTGCAGCAGCACCGCATACCAGCCCATAATAGCAGCCGCTTCAGGCCGGTGCTGCGCAAGTAAATCAATAAATTCCTCTGGCAGATAGATGTTCCAGCTAAACAGCATCTGATACGAATTCTTGCCCGACACGGGCCTGGTCAGCTCATCGAGGCCGACTTGAAGATGATACACGGCGGTGCGGCACGATTCTCGGGATACAGGGTCCAACCCTGGGGTTATGGCAATGAGCCGCAGGAGCTGATCGAATTCATGGCCGCGTGCCGCTTGATGCGCGCTGCGCGCCCCCCATTCGAGCAGAGGAGCGAGGTCGGACTCGAGCAGGCTCGACCAGGACACGCCAGAAACGACGGCGCGGATCCCTCTCTGAAGCTGCGCGCACTGCACAAAGCTGTCGAGAAACGCGGCAAAGTCGCCTTGTCGCGTGTTGTTGAGCGTGTCCACCAACGAGTGGCGAGAGAGAAGGGACGAGAAGAGGACGGCGGGCATGCATGCGTCGCTGGTGAGGGGCTGCGAGGCGCTGAACCCTTCGATAGCCTTGGTCTGCAGATTCAAAGCCTGTCCGTAGTAGAATTGGAACTCGCTCGGATGCACATGGGCGAGGTGCCGCGCCGACAAGGCCAGGATCTGATGAAGCAGATAGGGCGTCTCCAAGGCAACTCGCAGCACGAGCTCAGTGCCGCCCTTGGCGAGATGGTCGGGAATCTCGGGAACGGCTGTGGGTAGCGAAAAGTGAAGAATGAGGCGCATGTGATGGATATTCACAGACGCATCCGGACCCGACGCATTAGCAGATGCGAGGCTGTGCTCAGGCGACACGGCCGAGGCGCCTTGCGCCGGCGTACTCGCTGCGCTGACGATTGCATCGGTAGTAGGGCAAACGGTTGGTGAGAGATTCTCAGGGGGGCGAGGTGTCTCTGTGCGAAGCGTATCCGGAGTCGATTTGCGAGCTTCCACGCGGCCTTGTCGTGCTTGGGGAGGTTTGCGACGCCGTATTGCTGCGTATTCGCAGGTCCGTTCCACCACGACGCAGTTGGTGCACTGCGGCTTCGTTTCGTCGCACTGGTCGCTTTGTCAGTGACGCGTTGATATACGCCTGCTGTAGTCTCACTTTGATATGCCGTCGTTTGCATTCGACACAGCCGTTTCTTGATTTTTTATGTGATTTTCGCGTCATTAGGATGTACGCGCCGTGGTTTTCAAGAGGTAGAAAATACGAATCCGCGGAAGAAGCACTAGAATTAGTAGGACTAGTGGGTCTGCGGGGAGTATGAAAATACGGCGTGTTTAAGGAAGGCTGTGCTAGTGAGAGAGGCTAGGACGGCTGGCTAGTCGTTTCGGTTATTATGAGGTTATAGGAAATGTCATTTATTAGTTAGACTTATTTATCCGTTTTAATTATTTATTCCTTTTAATTAGACGCGGGGTACGGACGGTAGCGCAAAGACATCAAAATATATAGTAGCTTGGTAAGTGTACTACTACTACTTTGGTGTACATTTTGCTGGTAGACGTATGTAGGAGGCTCTGCAACCTGAGTTCTTCCTCGACTGCTATGCTACGCTCGCAATGATCCGCACAGATCTCGCTAGTCGACTCCCCTTTTTAACGCATCTCGCATGTATCTGCGCATCAATCACATTGACTCCTCCTCTCGTATTAACGGCGTATTCAAGGATGGTGCTAATTGCCGGTTTGGGAGGGATTGCCCCGCATTTACCTTTGCGTTTAAAAACTTCCGCGTATTCACGAACAGAACAGAGAGCGAACACACGAGGAGAAAATAAATAAAAATAGAATCGTCGCAGTTATAGTCAATAAAAATCAATCTTGGTCTCCATAGAGACCTTTTGCTCGACATGTATTAAAATGCGCCGACCTGCTGTTCCTTTCCTTTGCAACTTGATCAACACACTCGCAAAGAACCTGTCCCCTGCCGCCGTCCAAGACCGAAAATGCCTACACTCGAGCTTCACAACGGTTATCCGCTATGGAAATACATGCCAAATCGTCCTGCCGCCATCATTTTTATCGTGCTTTTTGCGTGTGCGACCGCATATCACACCTTCTTGCTCTTCAGACATCGGCACTGGTTCTGCTTGCCTTTTGTCATTGGCGGTTTCTGTAAGCCGTTCCTTGACAGTAAACCCTCTCACCAATAACTGACCAAGTGCTTTCTAGTCGAAGCGATTGGCTATATTGGGCGCTGCATCGCCTATGACAGCACAGGCGAGCTGATTCCCTACATGCTCCAGTCCATCTTTCTCCTGCTCGCGCCGATCCTCTTTGCCGCGTCCTTGTACATGACCCTTGGCCGCGTGATCCGCTCAGTAGACGGCGAGAAATACTCCATTATTCGATCGAAACGCATCACTGCGATATTTGTCACGGGCGACGTTGTCAGCTTCATGATCCAGGGCGGCGGGGCGGGTATTCTGGTCAAGGCGGACTCTGCCAGTAGCAAAAACATGGGCCAAAACATCATCATTGGCGGCCTCATCTTCCAGATTCTCATCTTTGGCATCTTTTGCGTGGTTGCGCTGTCCTTTCACCACCGATTCACCCGCAAAGGACTTGTCAACTGCTACCTGGACATTCCCTGGCAGTCGGTCCTCATGATGCTCTACGCGACCTCTGGACTGGTCATGGTCCGAAACCTGTTTCGCGTGGTAGAGTACGCCATGGGCGAGAATGGATACCTCCTTTCGAACGAGTGGTGCGTGTACATTTTTGACGGACTCCTCATGTTTTTCGCCATGGTTTTGTTTGGCGCAAGATACCCCAATCGACTATTTCCCATGAAACGGTCGAGCCCAACAATGGTGCCTCTGAATGCTTACGAGCGGTCGGAAAGAGACGATGCAAAGTCATATGCCTAGATTCGGCTACTGAGATTTATGGGTAGTCAAAAGTCAGATTAATACCGAAGCGCAGGGAGTGAGAATTAGATTTGAAGTTTTAGATAGTAATCAAGGCCTTTTATCAAGAATGTTTTACCACGGCTCCGTGTGCGCCCGAATACAGTACATCTAGATTAACTAACTATTTCTTCTACATTTTTTAAACTATTTATTAGCTTCTTCTGGTGCGTAGTCGTAGCGAATAAACACAGCATCAATAATGAGCGAGCGCTTGTTTTTTTTTTTTGTCCACCCCTCTGGTACTCTAGAGCCAATCATGACAGGCAGTGACAGGCAACCATGAATGAGCTGCAATTCGTCCGTCCCTACCTACCGGCAATTATTTCGGAGCAGGGCGGCTGGGGGCCGGGCGCCCGGGCCAGCACCGGGACGGGAAAGCTGCCGGGTACGACGGATGGTAGCACGTCCGGTCAGCGCCTCGCTGCCACGCCACCTCCATGGATGAGAAGTATCCGTAATGGCATACATGCATAACTACAGCTAATCAACCGCGGCTGTACTGGTGGGCTAATGTTTTGCGCTACGTGCTCAACTTGGTAATGTGGGGGATGAATTGTTGAGGGAAAACTAGATGCATTATACCCGGCCTCCGGCTTGGCGGCATGTCAGACGAGGCGCACGCTCTTTGGAATTATGGCCAAATTTATAACCATTTCGGTCCAAGATCGGCCACAATAGGATCAAGGTACGGAGCGATGGCGCGGCATTCGGCGGGTCGTCGCGCCCAGATGCGTCGATCTCCTGCAAGTCAGTCGCCACTGAATCATCGACAGCACAGGTCGCCAGTTTTTTCATATTTTCAGAGCAAAATCATACCTCGTAACTACGCCATGGAAAATGATTTATTCCAAGCCAGGCAGCATTTCTCTCGTGAGCGCAATTGCCGGGAAGAAACCTATCTAGCAACACAGAATTACAAGGGTGGCCGGGGTTAGAAGCTGACTGCTTTCCTACATTGAGCTGATGAGGCTGCTGAAGATGCGCTCATTCTTGAGACATGCGGAGAACGTCTCTTTCGGAGTTATTGAAGTTTTATGTCCGCCCTCCTGCAGTATTACTCACACTACTGGTCATTGCTATTGCAGATGCACATAGACTGAGCGAACTGTGCACACATCTCCTTGAAAGTGCCACGATTCCAGCGCGGTTACTCATAACTATGATGGTCAATGACATATTAATTTCCAGTATATAATGTGGGTTGGCATCGTGCAGTGCAATGACGTATTGTCAGTGTCCATAAATACCGTCGGACAAGGCTCGTGGCCCGCATCTAAACGTATCTGCCAGACTTGACAGCCCCGGCCGGCGGGTCAAATTACTTACCGAATCCTTTGCACTACCCATGGCATACGAGCTTGGTAGCCTGTGATGTAATGCTAGCACCGCTCTAATGCCGTCAGCAGATGTGTGCCGTGTTTCAAGTCGGATCATCGGTGGCTGCTGATTGATATGTTTTGAGAAATCGCCGACCCTAAGCTGTCACTTGTATGGAAACGTTAAACGAACGAGCCGACACTCATAAAAGTATAAAAGGGGAGCTATTCTCCCACGAAATTGAATCCATCATCATCACGACGCAATACAACAATACAATCATAACCAAAATCATCTTCTTTGACTCACTATCAAACCACCTCCTGAATTCAAGATGCAGTTCTCCACCATCATCTTTGCTGCTGCCACTCTCTTCGCCGCTGGCGAGGCTTGCAAGTGCTTCACCGGCGCCAACATCAACTTTGGTGCTTCTCGCAAATGCTGCTCTCAGTCTGGCGGTCGCTGGACTGGTGACGATTGCGCCTTTGCCGGTACCGGCGGCAACCTCGGCAAGTTCAACAGCTGCTGCGGCCAGAACGGCGCCAACTCGGACTGCGAGTAGATTACTCTGCCATGTAAGACAGCAATTGCGTTCAGACAGTGGACATGGTATTATTGCACTTGCTAACATTCGGATTAAGACTACTGTCGATTCTTGCGCGAGCTCTTGACGTCACTGAAAGACTACAGTGGCTTCGCTACAGGTGCAATCGATAATGGAATGTTGAGATACGGATACGACATGCTATTATTGCTATCAAAGATGTTCGCTTCAGAGTTTGTGCAGAGATGGCAGTGTATGGCACCGTTTGACAGGCCTTATGGTAGACTCAGACATCTATAAATGAACACGTGGAGGAACTACTGACCAATTCTGGTGATGTAATGTGCATGCGGACCTTGACAGACAACATGGCTGAAGCTATTTATACCCTCACTTCGCCAGCTACCGTCCGCGGTAGCTCGTGCATTAAAGTTTACGATATTTATACGACACATCATTCAGTTTACAATCAACATATGATTCAGGCCTAGTTGCGACCACCCCCTTCTATACCACACGACTGCTTCGATCGTCGCTCAAACAAAGAGACAGACAGCAGGAAGGATTCTCGAGGAATAGATGTAGTTTACGATGCAAATCCAGGATTACAAAGCGTACATGGCTCAATTTATCTAGTCTGTCATGTTTTGGTGGTCTCATGTTCGTGTATAGCTTGCGTTTCTGTTGCTTGTCAGAATGCTTTCTGGATCAAGGTGTTTCCAGGTGGTGCACCCCGTGGTGTGTTGCACTCGGTAGAGTACTTTACTGACAGTTTGCGGTAAAGTGATAACACCCAGAAGCACCCTTGGTTGGGTTCGGCATGCCGGGCTTCCATTCCTGAGCCTTTGTTCCATCTGGGCACACTTGACCCTCCAAGACCTCTAGTTTATATCCTGTTCTAGGGCATTGCCTAACTTGAACTGTCGTTAAACTTGGAGTTGGTTCGACGGTGTGTGTCAGAGGCGCTGCGGGTGCGGGATCGTGGTCCTCAAAGCAGGAAGAGCTGCTGTTATATTTTCCCCAAGCAGACTGACCATGAGCATCAGATATCGTCACCTGGCTAGGCAAGTCAAACCCTTTGCAAAAGATGTCAGTGCCGCACAGCTGCTCAAGGAAGTAATTCGCGGAGGTAAATTGCCGACAGCTTTCGTCAGGGGCCGTACGCATCGTCCATGGAAGCAGCTCAGTATAGGGTTCGTTGCTTTGGGGGTCGGTTCGCACCGACAGGCACGTAGCTGTGTCAGCATACTTCTCGCCATTCCCAAACTCGTATAGTCTTTCTTGGCAGTACAAGTTGGTCCCACAGTAGCTCTCTCGATGCTCTTCGGCGCTGCCTTCGGTGTTACGTCGACATCTCTGCTTGGCCAGGTCGATATTCCAAGGATCGGGGAAGAATGGTAGTTTATGCGTTTGCCTCACGGGCTTGCTAGGTATCCATAAACGCCAGGGCCGAGGCTGGGTGTCGCTCCCTTGAGAGGGGCTGCGGTACTTCTTCCATAGACCATGCATGCGATCGATTTGGCCGCGTGTAAACTCCGACCTGCAAGAACTATCGCTTGTCATTAATGGATCATCTATTAACATTGGGGTGTTTGGTACTTACTCTGCTGAATAATCCATAATGTTGTGGATAGGGTCAAGGCCATCCCTACCAGGGCAAGAATTGCGATTGATTTGACAGCCGCGAGAGGCATTAGCTGAGGCGGGTGTATCGTCAATAAAATCACCTTCGCCGTCACAGCCGCCCTCAAAGGTGTGAGCTAAACCAATCCAGTGACCGACTTCATGAACGACCGTTAGGCCTTTGTTATAAAATTCAAAGCTTCCGCCAGGAACTGTACCCGCTGCTATCCTTACACCATCCTGCAACGGATATTGTTTTAGCAGATCAGGAGTCGGGCTCTCGCCACCCAGAATCAGGCCAACCTGATCACTGATGTGTTTGACGAAGTAGATATTGAGAGAACTTTTATCACCCTTGTGGTAATAGGAGGCGCCCTGTGGATACGAGAAGGATGTTAATCGCTTATTAGAAACCCATTCTATATCTTGAACGATGAAGGAAAAGTTTGCCGGCTGAAAGTGAGTATTAAGCACATCAAGCTGCTTTTTCAACGTATCTAACTAGATAGAAGATTAGCTTAACCGAGCATAAAATCAGAGAGCTCCCGTTAGGAGATAGTACACTCAAAAGTTCTTCCGCTGATGGTGAGAGCACATGTATATACACGTCAATATATACTTGCGGGTGCACAGTTGACTGGTTTTTGCGGGCCAGTTCGCGTTCCGCAGCAGCAAGGTTTCTGTGAGTGGTAGCCAGCTCATCCTCCATGGCCACTATAGGAGCCAAAAGAGCAAGCCAGAAACTGGCACATAAGATAAAAGGAAGCATGATGAATTGACAGTTCAATGAGTACTGGCATGACATAGCAGAGGAGGGATCATTGCGAGAGCTTTAAGGGCGGCAGGCAAACCATTCGGTGATTTCTGTACTTCTAACTTAACGCCGCTTACTTTATACAACCTGACCATGATAGGAAGAGATCAGCCCATGAGTACTGAGTGATATAGGCAAGTCTCGTATTCTAGCATTAGTAAACAAGGAACATTGAGGTATTCATATGGCTGAGAGCACCCATGTCTGCTAGCTTAGAACAGGGGTCGGTTTTTGCAGTAGGGAACAGATACCAAAGAGGCATACATAACTTTGCACGGCTGTACGTCGGGCTTTCAGATCAAGGGAGGAACTATAGTATGTTAGTAATATACCTTGTCTCTTTCCTCTCCTATTTGTCTACCTATCTGGTGTTGTAAGGAAGTTTAGATGTATAATCCCTCACCTAGTTTATATAACCATAATAAATAAAGTGATGATCAATACTATACTCGGCGTTTGCCGATGACACCTATTTGATTGTATATAACGCCTTGTGGACGATATCCACACCGGGAAATAGATGGTCGCCGGAATAGCCCTCGGGCACTATGTAAGTTGCACGATCTGACCCACCGAAGTAGGTGTAGGGCGTACCTGAGTATCCTGATCATTAATCTCTTGTTGCTTGCTTGTAGTTCACCCTCTAGCTAGCTCTTCTTCTACTTTCATCATGATGAAGCCTTTTACATCTTCCTCTTTTATAATATATCCTGTTAGTTGTATCATAAGCTCTTGTAATGACGTTGATGTAGATCTCTTCGCGCGGTCCGTGATAGCTACCGCGGTTATTTATTTTAAGGGGCTAAGGGCCTACGTAGTACTGTAGAATAAGGATACTAGGTCTATCAGGAAAGATAGTCTCTAGGCTATATTATAACTTTATCATTAAATAATTCAGACAGTAAGAAATTATTACGCTACTATATAGTAATAGAAAGTGTTTTTAATTTAGCTAGTAATAGAAGTAAGAGAGCTTTACTAACATAATAAAGTAAATTATATATATAGGTTAATAGGATTAAATAAAATACTTGATAAGTATTTTAAGATACTATAAATACTTAGGTAGTAATAGCTATAGGGCTATAAAATAGGATGTTATTATAATAGGTATAACACTTTTATATAGCTATATCTTATTAAGAGTATATAGCTTAACTTTAGTTAGTTACCATTAGATTAATATCTTAATAAAATTATCTTAAGAAATTATGAAGATATCTTTCTCTAATCTTTTATCTTTCTTAAAAGGGATATTAATATATTAACCTTTATATAAATACTTACTATCTATATATTATAAAAAACTAAACTTTTCTTAAATTTCTAAATTATTATTACTACTATTACTAGAAAAGTACTAACACCTCTTTATAGAGAAAACTTCCTATTATAGAAACTATTAATTATCAACTCTAATAATATAATATTTAAAGAGAACTATAAAAGCCTATAATAGTAGATATAATATATATAAAACTATTAAGTTATATATAATACTAGTTTAAAGATATTATCTCTTTAAAGGTAAGTATATATATTCAATATAACTATTAACTATTAATTAAAATCTTAATTTAAAAAAATCACTTATATTAAAGATATATTCTATTATTATTATTATATAAAGTATCAAAGAATTATATTAACTTATAATAGTATTAAAGGTATAAGTAATATAGCTAAGTTTTAAATTATAAAGAATTATAAAAAATAAAAATTTTAAACTAAGGTATAGAAGGGTAGTTAAATCTAACTAATATAATAGATAGAATAATTAATAGAAATAAATAAATTATAGATTAGGACTAGGAAGATATATAGGTATATATATTATGAGTAGGTATTTATACTTGCTAATCCCTGATTCGTATATGATGTGACTTCTGCTAGAATCCGAGTATTAGACTGCTTAGGGAAGATAATACAGTATAAAACCGTTTTCTTCTATTTCTTTCTTCTGTTTTAGAACTTAAAAATTTTCGACAGATTTCATAAGGTCATCATTTGTCCTCACTCCCAGGTCTTCAGGCATTTGTAGTATAAAACGACGAGTGAGTCGGTCTAGCCACTCACGTCGCGCTTTTGTATGTGGCAGACTGGCTTTTGGATGAGGCTTATGGAAGACTATGGTTCTTTGGTGGCACTCAGCATAGAATTGGTAGGCAGCACCAATGGTAGGACGAATTTTGAAGCCAATGCCCGCCAAAGCAGCACAAAAGTCAGTCCATTTCAGATGTGACCTGCCTTCCGATGACTTCGCTAGGATGGAATTCCAGAACTGCAGCTGTGTAAAGAGTGTGATTGTAGGACGACGACTCATCTCAGGCGCTTTCCTTGGTCCTCGAGCGGTCTGTGGCACTTCCGTACGGCGATTGTGGCCTCTGTGGTGCTTTGATCGATTCAGCTGAGTTTGTGTTGGCTCTGCTGGCGGCTCTGCCGAATTCAAGCTCGCGAAAGCTTGCTCGTCATCGACTGACGAATTCTCAGGCGCGATCTTCAAGACCTCATCCAAGATATTCTGGGTTGTTGTATCGGCTGAGCCCTTTAACCCTTTGTCAAAGACCATCCAAAAGCGTTGATGTCGCTTTGCAAGGTCAGACGTTTTGTTGCAAACATCAGCGGTGAGTTTGTGAGCAGTCTCCGCATCTATAGCGTTCAATGCCGCTCCGATTAACATTTTCCAGGGCCTCTTCGTAGCCGAAATCTCCTCCGTTACCTCTTTGACTATCTTCGCGTACGAGGCAATATCTTCAGCGAATCTGCAATGTGTCTCTAGCTCACGCTCGCAAGCAGCCAGAACTGCTAGATCATGTAAAACTCTCGTGAGCTGTTGCGGCATGCGTTGTGTGGAAGCACAGCTCTTGCTCTCATCATCAATAACCATCATGACATCCAGTAGAGGTATGAAATCCACCACCGGATCGCACTTCTGGAGCAGTTGTAAGAGTTTTGACATACTTTCGTTTTTTATCTTGCTTGGAGACCAGCGACCGTGGCTTGGTAGTTGACGAACGGTGTCCGTGATCAAAGAATTGCTCAAGCAGCAAAAAGCAACCAACGCTCTGAATCTCGTGTTGTTCGCTTTTAATGTGATCTCGTAGCGTTCTTCTTGCTGCAGGGAAGTTGAATGCGTAACAAGTGTACTGAAGACATCTATCCGCATGAATAAGGTACGACAAACGTGTTCCCAGCCAGTGCCTTGAACCCACTCTTGCCATATATCAGGGTACTTGCGGACTTGTGCTAAGTCAAAGAGTGACTCATCTAAGGCAGCGGTTAACAGGCTATGTAGATATGTGATGCTGACTCGGTCGTGCGGCTTATGATAGTCTGATAGCTGAGATCGCATTAAGACAGACAGGTCGTTAGCGGGATCACAGCATAGTTCGTTATGGTATCCAACTATCGCCTTTGGCAAGAGCTGGACACTTTCCACTAGCCACTCGTAGATCTTCTGTTGAGCCCCGAGCTTGTGAAGTCCCACTGTCGGCGGCTCAGCTTGGGCCAGATCCGGGAGCAAGTCTTCGGCTTCGTTCCAGGTAAAGTCATATGTGTCATTAGACTGCTCCATTGGAAAACTGATCGTGCCAGTAACGGCCATGGAAATCAGGCTCCCGCAGTATACCCCAAGGTAGATCGAACGCCCATCTAAGTCTCTGAGATAGGCCGGATGATGTGTTGCGCGGAATTCGAGTAGCTCCGGAAGGATATTGTCGCGGGACAGGATCTCCGTGTTCAGGAGACGGTAGAAGAACAGTTTGCTATTCGGTGGAGATTCTAAAGTCGGCGATTGAAGCCAGGCATGAATACTGGCTTGTGCATTCTGTGGTAGGTCGGGAAAGTTTCGCTGTAGCCATGATCTCCTCTCTAGCATTCCCATGCGCGCCCATATTACTTGGAACCTGTTTAATACACCCTTCCTTTTTAACCGGCGTAGAGAGTGCCACGATCGTAAAATTGAGTCGGTTCGTTTGACGAGAGCGGTGCGAAACTGCTCTCTGTCTTGTGGCAGGCTCTTGGAGCTATTACCAGCCAGTCGTCGCAGTCCCTCCGGCGGCCGTAAAAGATCGACGTTCAGTGTCAGTTGTGCAAGGTCTATTGTAGGACTTGCTTCTGTCAACAACTGTAGAAGTTTCTCGGGATACTCCGCCTTGCTTAGCGACGAAAGATCATAGCCTGGCTGGACTAGGCCCTTAGCACTGACTAATAACCTTTGACATATATCTTTATCCTTCAAGGTAGGTGAACGGTGCTTTATACAGTAATCTGGCTGCATCTTGGAGTTCGACCGTGGGGTTCTTGTTGACGGCAAAATGTAAATATACAGGACTGCTCTACTTAAGTTCTGATGCTGAGCTACTGACTCAATCCACGAATTATCAAGCGATTAGTATAAAGAATCTGTGGAGTAGCCCGTGGAGAATTTGTCTAGTACAATATAACTCCTGAAATACTCAGTAAAGCTGGTGCAATAATAAAGTAAACGGCTGACCGGTCCTGATTGTTCGTTATAATTCATAGCTGGTCTAAATCCTTGGCGTCGGTATATCTCGCCGGAAACTGTCCGCCGCGTTAACACCCTGCATGTGATAGGCTGCTGTAGATATATCCCTAGCTGTGCTATTCTCTTAAGCCGAAGCTAATCGGATATAAGTGTTAAGCTATACCACCGCCCAATTTCTGCCTAGCCCGCTTAGCCCTATATACATCAAATTAGCTATATATATATATAGGGACTATAGATATATCGTACCACGACATATAACTAAGCAGCCCTATCCCTTTACTAGTAGAGGGGGAGGTAGGCAGTCACTTTGAGGGTTCTAAGCCAATTACAGCATCCTGAAAATACCAGGTACTTCTTATTCGCATCGGACAGCGCCTTGGTGGCTCTGTATCTGTGGCGCGTTCGGGTGCTAGGGAATACCTCAGCGAATAGGTATAGCCCTGCCACGCCTGATTCGAGTACTCACAGGTAGTAAGAAGTAGTAGGGCGACTACTTCAAACCTCCTCCTCTACTGGCAAAGAGATAACTTTCACGGTTGCTTGTTTAAACCCCTGAACTTTATTTCTCTCCTGACATCTAAAACAGGGAACGCTAAGCAGCTGCCGGCGACGCCGTTTCGATCTTAATCATCCCTGAACGTGACGTACCTTAGAGGGAGGATGTGGAGCAGGTGCTCGCTGCCGCACCTAGCGTCTCCATGCTGGTTAGCGGGTACACATGCCCGCACCCACTTAGACAGTAGGTTTAAAAGTAGTGACTTAGGGTGCTAGTAGCTATATAGCTGCTATACTAGCTGCTATACAGCTGCTATACTAGCTATACGGCTTCGGTACTGGCTGTACGGCTTCTGTATAGGGGACAGATGGTACTTTATGCTGCGGCCCGCTGTGACCCACCGTGGCCAGCCCTGTGGGTTCTTCTTCGATGTATCCTGAGTCGCCAGTCGGCAGTACTCGAAAAAACTCAGGATCCGGCATTATTAGGGGGTCAAATACTTGTTGCTACCCACTGTAAGAGACTTGAGGCTTAAATAGCGACCCATCTGTTTGATCTTTCCACGCTGACTCGTAAGTGTACCTATGAAGAGTCAAGTGAGGTATATACGTTCAGTGCACTAGCCATGGCCTGGAGTTTCACGTTAATAAAAGTAAGTAGGTTTCCCCAACCGCTCGAGAATTCTAGAAGAATGCTCACAACCTTCTCCGTGGGTTAGTACCACGATAATGTTAAGGAGCCACCACATGCCTACGGGTCTGAGGCCCGCCCTACGATCAACCCGGGTCAAGTTTTTATTGCTTTGGACCTTTATAGCTATTTGTCTGTCTTTTAGTTTTTACGTTACCTGGCAGGGTAGTTATTTCGACAAGGCTACATCGCTGAAAGGTCTTTTGCTTAGCGACCGTCTTCTTGACGACTTATCCAAAGCTGCTCAAAATGAGACCCTCGGGTTCGAGAAGATCTTCTACATTAGCATGCCTCAGTAAGATGTCTCATGGAACGTATTCTAGATGTTAGGGGTGCTAACATTGACTCCTCAAGCCGGCAGGATCGCCAGGACAGCATGACTATGTTAGCCACTTCAACAAATATACGGCTTATATTACAGAATGGAGTACACTATCTGCACTCACTTATATTTACAATTGATAGTATTGACATATTGCTTGCAGGTCGATGGCAACACTATACATGAGAAAGCGAGGCCTAAGGGTAGCCAAGGCTTAAGACCAGAGCAGCTTGGCTGCTGGCGCAGTCATGCCAATGTATGGCGAACAATCATCAACGAGCGAATCGAGACAGCTATCATTCTAGAAGACGATGCTGATTGGGACGTTCGAGTCCATGATATATTTCAAACCCTTAGTCTTCAAATGAGGAAGAGGACAGCAAGGGAAGGGGAGCCTAGGAGTCATGAAGCCCATGCACCATATGGTAAATTATACCCACCCTAGGGAGTACTCTATATTCTTGCGACATTCTTCTTTCTCGAAAGCTAAATGTCTTATAATGTAATAGGTCTCGATTGGGATTTGCTCTACGTTGGTACCTGTTGGAACATCAACCCTGAGGTTCGTCCGGTGCCACATATTTATCAAGACACAAATGCGCCGAATTCGACAGAGTAAGTAATTCTTCGATACCAGAAAAAGGTTAAATATACGATTAAGTTCTACGCACTAATATTAGATTTTTAGGATGTCTTATGCTTATCAAAAAGAGCTTGAGTATTGGGGGGCTTCTTCTTCTGAAGAGGCCCGCGTGCGAGTAATAGCCCCTTCATGGTATCCTGTTTGCACGGTAGGATATGCTGTAACATTACAAGGAGCTCAGAAGTTACTTTACACTGTTGGAAACGAAAAAGGTCTGAACGGACCAGTTGATCTTGCCATGATAAGCAGGATTCAGTCTGGCCACTTGAAGTCGTTTACGGTCGTCCCCCCCTTAGTAACTCCCTGGAAAACAGGAACTACTTCTGATAGCGACATTGACGATCTAAATAAGGCCGAGGGCGAATTGCCTCAAGGTAGCGACAACCTACGACTTAGTGGAAGAAAGGCTTTAGCAGCAACGTTAGATAAGGACTTCAAAGACTAAATAAAGCTCCAAGTCCTTTTGAACTCTTATATATATTCTTCTAGAGTATACTAGGTATATACAGGGCTACTAACATATCTATATAATAGGGTATATAGAATTAAACTAGTATTGCCCTTTGCTACTTGAGTATTAATCTAGTATTACTATATATTTTATGCTTTTTCTTATATAAAGATAGATAGTAAAGTTATAAAATATAGTTTAAAGTAGTGATAAAGAGGCAGAATATATATTATTAAATCCCGTATAGAAGTAAGCTGAATTTCGATTATATTAGGCTATATAAACTGCAATTATTTCCGTAAAGTATATACTTTTTCTATACTATAAGGTAGTAGGTAGAAGATAAGTTCATAAGCTAAAAAGGGCTTTAGGTACTTACTAGAATCCTTAGAGCTCTTCGTAAAATAAATAGCATGGAATTATCTAATCTTATATAGAAAGTAGTTAAGTTTTATTTAGCTTAGCTATATTATATATATATAAGACTATATTGTAACTTAGCTAAGAGGTAGTATAGTTAGTATATACAAGGCCTAAGAAACTATAAAAGTAGTAGATCCTTAGAAAATTACCTAAGTATTGCTAAGAGGCTAAAATTCTATATAAGTTTATATTGAGTAAATTAAAGAGTTTTAAATAAGACTTAGTATAAATAATATAGTTTAAAATTTAGATTAGCCTAATATAAAGTAAATAGATTAAATAATATACTATAAAAGAGTCTTTTATATATAATATTTAAACTTTAAATTAGATATTAAAAATATAATATTTTTAAAAACTAATAAATTAATATATTAAAGATAATAGATAAAGTAATAAATGTTTCAATAAAAGAATAATAAATAAAAGAATTAAACTTTATATAACGTTACTATAAAAGAATTATTAACATAAATTAGTATTCTTTATTTTAATTTAAATATAATATAAGTTTATATTAATTATAAATATATAACTAAAGCTATTTTTCATTATTATAACCTAAAGGTTATTAGTTTATTAAATAAGATAACTTTTATCAGACTTTTAATAAGATATTTTAAAAGTTAGAGTATATATAAAGATTTAATAGCTTAATATTAATATATTTTATAGTAATAATAATATCTTAAATAAGTATAGTAGATAGTCTTAAAGAAGCTAGATAAATAAAAATAAGGTATTAATATTATTTAAAAGATAAATATAATTTTAAGATATATTAATTTATAAATATTATTAGAAGAAAGATTTATATATTATTTATATATTATTATTTTAAAATATAAAGAATATAAAATCTATTTTTTATTAATTATTAATTAAATTAATGTTTATAAATTTAAGTTATATTATCTTTTAGATTATCTTTTTATAATTAAAATGCTTTATAATATAAACTATTTATTAAATAACTCTATTTCTATACTAGTAATAAAGAATTATAAAATACTACTAGAGTTTAAATCTAATAGTTATATAAGTAGCTAATATAGTATAAATTAGCTTCTATACTATATTATTCTAGACTATTCCGATTACTAATATTATAGATAGGACCTAGTAGTATAGTAACGCTAGTATATACTCTAGCGACGACCGATGCGACTGGGATTATAGCGCGCGTACAGCTGCTATAGTACCCTACGTACTATTGCAGGAGCCACGATAACGTTAGCGTTGCTCAAAGAGATAAGGTAAATTTCTAACTATATCTTGACTCGAATATGCAATGCAGGGGCAGTACTTAATTAGCGTGGCAAGAGATATGCTTTGCTTTACTTGGTGTGGTTCGTTTGTTTTATATGCCTGTTAGGTAACTCTCTCCCTAGCAAAAATGAACCCTGGTTAGATGAAATACATCTTCGCTCTGTAGGTATGTCGCCCCCCTTATCGGTCCTAGCCTAAATAGCAGACAAGACTTACCCATCACATTCAGTAAATTACGCCATCGATTTGACTCACGTACTTTATCTTAGACTTACTGTGATAGGTACTTATTATACCTTTATTTATATCTATTAGAGCTGTCAAGCATAGGCACTTGCTCTTATTGCGATCTTTGTTTTATGTAATCATAGCGTTCCCTTCTATTACCATTCGACTTCTCCCCTCTTGTATCTAATTGAAATCTGATATTTATCACCTGCTCCTCCCTAACCAGTGCAAACTGTTCATGATAATGCTGTGCCCCCTAAACAGCTGTGAAACTTTCTAAAAACATTCATGCTAACGGTGCTGGGTTTAGCATGAGACGGCCCCTTGATCTCCACAGGGCGCTCGAAACCGCGTGGTCTAGCGGGTCCGCGCAGGTGTTGCGAGTCAGCTCCCCTTTTATAATATACTACGCTGAAGTTTACAGCTTCTCTCCCCCTTCGTATAAAAGCTGAGAAGTTATCTTACCAACCTATACTTATTATAGGACTACTTTAATATAAACGAGCTTACTATACTTTTACCTAAGATATTTTAGACTCTTCTAACTATTATAATTAATTAAATAATAAAATAGATAATATTTTAATATAAAAATAATTAAATAATAAATA